TCTAAAATAAATAATCTTAAAAAAAAAAAAAAAGGAAAGCCTACCTTTTTTACTTGCCCTCTTTGCAGCTTTTGACCTAATGACCACCCCCTCTTTCTTAAAAGTCTCTCTTCCCAAAGGTTAGGGCACCCTGATCTCCAGGTTTTCTTCCCATCTCCCTGTTTTCTGTATGTGTTTGTGTGTGACTGCTTTCTAAAGATTTGCCTTACTTTCACAGCTTTTAAATATCCATTTATCCAGTGATCCATTCTCTGCTCTCTTCCTCTCACCTTCATGCTAATGTTTTCCAAATCTCTGTCTCCACACTCACCCTCCTCTGTCCCGCATCTCCATATCCAATGGCCTCTGGTCATTCCTACCTGGATGGATATACCTCAGGCATTTTTAGGTTCACTATGTTCAAGGACGCCATTTTGCTGTTCCCCCAAAAGCCTGTTTTTATCTTGCATTGCCAATCTCAGTTGGTCATTATGTACCTGGGCTCCCAAGCTAGGGTTAGGAGACCACTTCTGACTTCTCTTGTGCCCTACTTTAAATCTCTTACCCAAAGCTATCAATTTTGCTTTCTAAATATCCCTCCATCCCAGCTACTCCCGCCAGTCATTATCCCTTTCCTACAATACAGCAAAACGTTCCTTATTGCTCCAGTCCAGTGTCCCTTCCAATGTACCCTCCACACAGCTGCCAAAGGGATTTTTCCAAGACATGCATCTGAATGCGTTATTTCTGAAACCAGGTGTTCTGGCAGTTTGCCTGTGTCTTCAGAATAAGGGGAAACTCCTCCAACATCATGTACAAGTCCTTCCATTTTGGTTTCATCTTTTTTGGCTTCTAATGCTCCCTCAATGTCTTCCTGTGAATTTCCTAAACTCACAGGTATTTAACTCTCCCAAACCTTGCTTGGGCTGTTCCTTTTTGCTACAATGCCTTTCTTTGTCTCATTTGTCTAGTGAAGTAATCCTTCCCTGAAAACCATTCTCTATGCACTTAAAGTTTCCCTGACCTGCAGAAAGAGGAAATATTAAAACTCTTATTTTTTTTTAAATGTCTTATACCGACTTGCATTCATTCCCACATCAGGGGCTTTGTATCTGATGTTCCCTCTTTCTGGAATGTTCCCCCCACTCCCGCCCCCTACCCACTTCTTCACATGGTGGCTTTTCCTCATCATTTAGATCCCAGTTCAAGTGTCACTCTCAGGGAGGTCTCCTATCAATTCATCCTAACAGAACAGCTCCACTCCCATCTGGGTCGTCAACGGAACCACCATGAAGCCAGCACTTTAAAAGACCTTCTCCATGCCCAGCTGGGGTCTGGCATCAGCCAAGGCCACAGTGTCATATAGATGGTGTATCCTTAGCCCAGACCAGGATCCTCATGGATCCCCAGCCCCATTTCAGGGCCTTTATCTAACCCTCTCTTTCCCTCCCAGGGCCAACCAGATGCCCCAAAGGACACCCACACTTGTATCTATGAGATTATCCAAGGGCTTCATGAGAGACCAGGGAGCCAGGATGGTGCTGCCACACTGACTTGGAGTGACTCAAAGTGTCCCCAGACACAGGTCCCACATCTCCTGGGAATGACTCTGCTCCTTCACAGCACTCACACTATCAGAAAGTACACAGTACCTCTGTTTGTTTTTTCCTTTACTTTCTGAGTGCTGCCCCCTCCATGGGTAGAAGTAAGTAGTAAGCCCTGTGCAGAGTGACCTTAGCGGTCTCCCTCCCCATGGGATGGATGGTCAATGTTCAAATAGTTCCTGCCATAGACGGTATTCAGTGTCTGTCAAGCAGATAAATGAATGACTGCCCGAGATGATGCACTTACTTACAGACCTAGCTCTTCCTCTAGAATGGAAGCTCTCCAGACAATGGACTCTGCCTTCCTCGCCTTGGTCCTCAGACTGGCATAGTGCCTGCCCTAAGAGAAGGCATGAAATCTGTATTTGTTTAATGTGGAAATAAGTGAACAACCAGAGGAGTAAGTGAATGAATATATACCATCTAGACTCAAGGTTCTTCCCCTTGTCTCCATGATTCGAATGTCAAGACAAGGTTGAGGACCTCTTGTTCTTAAAAGTTCTTGGGGGAGCTTTTAAAAACTGCAGTGCCCAGGACCAATGAAACCAGAATCTCTGGAATGGCTTCCAAGCATGAGTCTACTTCAAGGTCTCCGGGCTATTCCAGCATGCAGCTACAGTGCGGCATAGGCTGACCAGCACTGGCACGTCTCCAAGGATGTGTAAATTTCAGTGCTAACAGCCTGACTCCTGGGCAGCTGGGATGGTTGGTCACCCAAGTTGAGAACCTTGGATCCAGACTGTCACCCAGGATCTCTTTAGAATGATGTATTTTCAATTTTTGAAAAGTCAAGACTCATTGGCTTTGTGATTTCCCTTGACACTTACGTGATTACATTCAGGTAGCTCACATTGACCCCAAGAGCTGCTTCCTCCTGTGTTCTTGTTCAGACTTGTGCTGCTACCGTTGACGGGGTGACATACAAATTTGTGGCATACAAATGGAAAGGGAATGATTAGACCATTACAGCAGGTCCGCAAGGACCAAGGGAGCAAAGGATTAAGTGCTACCTTTCCAGACGCATCCGCAGTGAGCCTGCCATTTCTTTCCTCCCAAGTGATGACGGTACATTTCGACACGTTTCTACTTATCACTTGTTTCCACCAGTTACTCTGAGTGTTAGTTTGCAGTTTCTGATGTTATCACCTGAGGTGATAAATAATTTTTAATTGAAAAATCCCTGTGGAAACTGAATTAATGCTCATCATCCCAAACATTAATTTACTACAAGTATGTGGTTTATACTGAACCCATTCATGTGTAGACACCAGAATCAAAACACCCTTTACCCTGGGAAGAGCAAGTGGCCCACCAGGCTCTAGGGCCTTTATTATTCAAATGAAGGTCTCTGGATCCTCCTTTTACCAGCACCGCCTGGGAGACCAGAAATGCAGAGACTTGGGTCCCACGGGGACCCACTAAATCTGATGCTCAGGAGGTAGGGCCCATCTTTCTAGGTTATTCCTGTGCTCAAATTTGAGACGTGCTGTCTAGAGAACATTTTGCTCACCCGATTCTTAACTTCACTATCTCAGAATGAAGAGGAGGGAAGAGGTGAGGGGAGGCAGCAGACAGAATCACGCAGCGCACTGGTTCCCAAGCTCAGGGGCATGTTGAAAACTCCTGGAGATGTTTGAAACTATCAGAGCCTGGCTCCCAGCCCAAGCAAGGGGATGTGGTTGTTTTGGGGGTGCATCCTGGGCATAGGGATGTTTTAAAACATCCCCCATTATTCTAATGGGCAGCAGACTTTGAGAACCCCTGTTTCATCACCAGCAACCCTATCTGCAGCTCATTGCTTCGAGCCTCCACTGCTGAAGAATCCAGAAAAATGGGCCATACTAACATTTGCTAGCCCTCCTTCCCTCATCAGAATCACCAGAAGTAAAACAAAGGAGAACTCACTGGGGCCCAATCTCACCTCTGGCATGATAAGTGCTTTTTCTGTTCACCTTCTGTTAGTAGCTATTTGCTTTTTAACCTCTCTGAACCTCAGTATCTTCATCTGTCAAACAGAGACAAGAAGACCCATTTCCCAGGATTATTTGGGACATTACCTACAATAGCATGTGCCAAGTGCCTAATATGTTGTCTAGCACGTAGCAGATGCCCAAAACCTCTGAGGCAAGAGTGCGGTCTCTGAACCCTGCGCCCCTGCTGGTGGGACCACTAGCAGCATGAGGTCAGACACATATTTAGGGAAGGGTCCTGGTCAGGGTACCAAGGCTGTTAACTGCAAAACCCCTGCTCACATGTGAATTCACATATATGATCTTGTTCCAGTCTCCCATCCCAGCCAGTAAGTAGGATCATTCTTATTATCCCCATTTCACAAGGTGATAGAATAGTGGTACAGAGAGGACCAAAGTCACACAGCTGTAAAATGGCAGACTCCGGTGTGCTGACTGTAGCCCAGGGTTCTCCCATCTGCTGTTCTCAGCCTCACACCCAGCCGCTTGGCAGCTGCATTGATCCAGACCGGCCCTGTTCCAGCAAACCTTTCGGGGATGGTGGAGCAATTTTGAATCTGCACTCTCCAATCCAAAGACCACCAGCCACATCTGGCTCCTGAGCATTCGAAAAGTGGCTAGTGTGACTGAAGCTTTAAAAGTTTTAATTTTAATGAACTTAGATGTAAATAGCCCCTGGTGGACTGCACCCATCTAGCCACGGAGTCTGGAGAATAATGGGAAACTGAAGGTTTATTTCAGTGGCTTCTACCCACCAATCAAAGAAAACCTAAGCCACTTATTTGCCTTTCTCTTAAAAGATTTTAACTTTATTTCAGTAGAGTGGCAAAGTCGGCCCACTCGTTGTAGCCCTGTGCAACATACAATCGGAACAATGCTTCATTCACACCAGCGATCAGCCACCAAAAGAGACACAAGTTACAGAGCACTGCTTCCCAAACCTGAATGTGTGCATGAGTCATCTGAGACCTTGTTAAAATATAGATTCTCATTTAAGAGACCTAGGGTGGGACCTGAGGGTCTGCATTTCTAGCAGGTGCCCGGGTGCTGCTGCTTCGGCTCCATGGGCCGCACGCGGACTAGCAAGGGTGTTGAGCAGTGGTCTTCCGTGAGCTGATTTTGTCTCTTTCCTGCCACCCAGAGGCATCTGGCAATGTCTGGAGACATTCTGGATTGTCATGACTGGGGTGCAGGTGTCATGGGCATCTACTGGGTTGGATGCAGAGATGCTGCTCAATTACCTACCACGTGCAGGACAGTCCCCACCGGAAAGAATTATCCTGCCCCCAAAAGCCCATAGTGCCCCATATGACAACCCTGTTGTCCAGCCGAGTCTACTGTTCCGGAAAAGGGCGGTTGATGAGAGAGTCGTGGAGCAGGTCTTCTTGGTAGGATAACTGATCATTGCTTTCTCTCTCCCACTCTTTTCTCTTCCTTGTCTGCACAGGAGCAAATGCCTCGGCCCCCGACCAGCTGAGCTTAGCTCTAGCCTGGAACAGAGTGGACATCGCTCGCAGCCAGATCTTTATTTATGGGCAGCAGTGGCCGGTAGAGTATATGTCACCACCCTGCAAAGCCCACTTGCTTGGGCAACGGTATTTGCTTAGGAGCAGCTCAGAGAAATTGTGGCCTGTTCTCTAGGATGCAAATGTTCCCTCCCTCGCGGCCATCCTCAGGCTCCGCCCCTTTCTCATATTTAGGAAAACACTGCCACCTGGTGGACGACGCGACAAAGCACAACTGCAAACATTCCAGACAGTTTCCATCTCGGTGCGGGGTGGGGGGACTCTGATGGTAACCTTCAGAGGCAAATAATGCCATTTCTTCCATACATCCGAGAAAACATATAAGGCCAAAACGTGTTCGGTAAAATGACAGAAGGCGTGGAACTAGCAGTTGGTTTCTGGTTGTCTCTGAGGTGCCGCTCCGGAGCGGCGGCGCCCCATGTTACAGCGTATGGCTCGGTCACACCTCCGGACGCAGGATTAGCAAGCTCCCGCGTGCAGGTGCCATCTGGTCCTGGTGGCTGAGCACAGGTCCTCCCTATTCCCGAGCACCACTCAGAGGGAACCAAAGCTTTATGTAACTGTTCTTGGTTCGTTTCCCTCAACGGACACTACCAAAAATAAAAACTTGGAAAATTGGCTATTGGGTGGTTGGTGTCTGGATCCCGGGGAGGCAGCCAGCAGTCTGAGATTTGACTTTAATGCTGGAATAACTGAACGGCAATACCCCCATGGATGGGTCTTCTTTAACCCGGTCTTGCCCCCAGAGAGCTGCTGCCTGGCCATGAAGCCCCTGTCTTTATTTAGTGCCACTAGTGGATTGCTAGGGTGGTAAGATTTGTCAAGGAGTCTGGACACCAGGAGGTTTTTGTGAAATTATTGAATAAAACCCTGGTAGACAGACTCAAGGACCTGAATAGTTGCTAAGTCTCTGCACGGAAATGAGTGAGACAGAAGCAAGGTAGTCTAACAATTAAAATAAAGAAAGGCCTACTTTCTGATCTGTTCGCTAGGGTCCCTCTTTTTAAGGTAGCCGGGGGTCTAATTCAGAGCCTCAGGAAGATAAAAATGAGGACAGCAAAGCAGCCACTTTGGTGCTTCACTAGTATTACAGGAAGTTTGGTCAGAGAATACATGGGAAATTCTTGTATATCCTGTGTCTTCTCGGGACCCAGAAGAGAAAAAGAGTCAGAGAGGAAATAGCTTTGGAACTAGAAAAGTTTGAATTCTGTTTGCAAAGACAGATCCCAAAACACAAGAGAGATTATGGCTGTACCAAAAGTGGAGTTGGGAACAGTCTTGTTCGCATGTTCTTGGATGTGCTGAAGGTTTACCAGATGTCAAAGGCATCCATTCTAAACTGTTCAGGTGAACACCAAGGAACTGCATCCCTGGAGCCTGGGGCAGACTAACTCAGTGACTTGATTTGCAGGTGGGGTCTTTGGAGCAAGCCATGTTGGATGCCCTAGTTCTGGACAGAGTGGATTTTGTGAAATTACTCATAGAGAATGGAGTAAGCATGCACCGTTTTCTCACCATCTCCAGACTAGAGGAATTGTACAATACGGTAGGGCCAAGCTAAGGCACTTTTTATTTTCTCTGTGTTTTTTCATTTTGCCTTCTCCTGCCCCCCACATGCCTGTGAGTCTCTTCCCTCCCTTCCAAATGCATGGATCATTTTTCAAAGATGCTCCCTTAGACCTGTAGACAACAACGCCAAGTCACTAAGATTCCGCTTGTTTTAACTGCTCAGTTGTCAGCATCTAAAGCAGAAAGTTATGGGATCACACCAAAAGCTAATGTTCTCAGATTCTTACACAAACCCACAAGGCTCTGAAAATTAGAATCCAGTTTATGCTGTAAGCCCAGAAAGCGTTTGAGGCAATCAGCAGAGGACAATTGATTTAACTCAAAGCATCAAAGGAGACTGATCAACTATCCCACACCATCTTGTTATCCTCAGAGCTATGACATTCATTCCCTTTCCTCTATAGTGGAATAAACCATAAAATACCCCTTGTTTGGAGTTACCACAAAATATTATTTGTATTATTTTGTAATAATTTGCTACTTCATTTACTAGGAATACCAAGGAGTGATCATAAAGAAAAACTACTATTTAGGAAGTTGTTTGTAGTATTCAGTGAGCTAAGTACTTTGGCTCTGAGCTGATAGGCACTAAAATCCAAAGAAGTTTAAAGAGCAGATGTTGGGGGGCACCTGGGTGGCTCAATGGGTTAAAGCCTCTGCCTTCGGCTCAGGTCATGATCTCAGGGTCCTGGGATCAAGCCCTGCATTGGGCTCTCTGCTCAGCGGGGAGCCGGCTTCCTCTCTCTCTCTCTCTCTGCCTGCCTCTCTGCCTACTTGTGATCTCTGTCTGTCAAATAAATAAATAAATAAATCTTTAAAAAAAAAAAAAGAGCAGATGTTGGAAGTTTCAAGAGGGTACAGGACGCTTGGAGAGTACAATTCAGGAAAGTTAAGAAAAACTTTCTTCCCAAAGGTTCTGGACCTGCTTGTATAGCTTTTGCTGCTTGTTCTTTTGCCATAAAGGCAAATCCCTTTGGATCTCCAGTAGACTATAATGTGATTTATACTTACATAAACAACATTACTACATTTCCCGTATACTCTTTCAATCCAGCCTTGATTAATATTTTGGGGAAGTAATTCCTATGATACATTAGAAGCAATATTAAATATATAAGAATTCTTGATCAAGGTCGATAAACTTTTACTTGGAATATTAAAAGAAAGAGAGGTATTGTTTTCCTCCATTTTATAGATAAGAAAACTGAGGCTAAGAAGTAAATTGGTTTATTTAAGGTCACAAAACTCCTAAGAAAGAAGAAAGCTAGTACTGAACCAATACTTCTGTCTTAGAGGTTATTCTTCCCCTCGTTTATCAATGCTTCTCTGTCCCACCACCCACAGCTCTAATGAGATGGAGCTTGTTGACCTCTCCCTAGCCAGCGGAAGGTGTTAGGTGATACTACTGCACTGGCTCTATCTCCTTCTTGCTGCTGGAACTAGAAAACAGTTTGGCAGAGCGGCTCCAGGTTTCTGTTTTCTCTGCAGATTTTTCTTGGTTCTGCATAGTGAGACTTTCAGTAAGAATAATAGACTGAAATGATAGCATAGGAAATCCCAGTTCCTGTCCCCACCAAAACATCGATAATTAGCCATGGAGAAGTGGATAAATTCCTAGAAACATGCAACTGATCAAATCTGAATCATGAAGAAACAGAAAAATTTGAACAGACCAATAATAAGTAAGGAGATGGAATCAGTAATCAAAAACTTCCTGACAAAGAAAAGCCCAGGAGTAGGTGGCTTCACAGGTGAATTCTACCAAATATTTAAAGAATTAACCCCAATTCTTGTCCAATTTTTCAAAAAACTTGAAGAGGAGGCAACACTCCCAAACTTATTTTAGGAGGCCAGCAATATACTGACACTAAAACAAGATAAGGACACTACAAGAAAATAAAACTATAAGCCAATATCCCTGATGAACATAGGTCCAAAATTCTCAACAAAATAGTAGCAATTGAAATTCACCAGCACTTAAAAAGATCATGCATCATGACCAAATGGGATTCCATCCCTAAATGCAAGGATGGTTCAATATATGCAAATCAATAAATGCACATCACATTACTAGAATGAAAGACAAAACTCATATCATCTCAATAGAGAGAGAGGCAGGGAAAAACAGGCACCCAGTTTGGAAAGGAAGAAGTAAAATTGTCTTTGCTGATAACATGATTTTGTATACAGAAAATCCTAAAGACTTGACCAAAAAAACAAAAACAAAAACAAAAAACAAAAAGACAAAACAAAAACCAAAAACAAAACTGTTAGAACTAATAAAAGAACCCAGTAGAGTTTAACGATACAAAATCAACATACAAAAAAGCAGTTGCATGTCTATACACTAACAATGAACAATCTGAAAAGAGAATAAGACAGTCCTATTTACAAGAGCATCTAAAGCTATAAAATACTTAGAGATAATTTTCACCAAGAAGTAAAAGATCTCTAAAGCAAAAACTGTAAGAGATTGATTAAAGAAATTGAAGAAGACACAAATAAATGGAAAGATATCCCATGTTCATGGATTCCAAGTGTTAATAATGTTAAATTGTCCATATCACAGAGTCAAAAGCCAAGCAATAAACACATGCATATATGGTCAACTAATATTTGAAAAGGGAGCCAGATATAAAAGTGTGTTTTGGAGGAGCCCCAAAATATTTGGGGCTGAAGGGTGGGAAAAATGAGAGATGTTAGCCAAAGGGTATAAACTTTCAACTATAAGACAAATGAATTCCAGGGATCTAATGTACAGCTTGGAGACTATAGTTAACAACACCACATTGTATTATAATTGAAAGTTGCCATGAGATCAGAGCTTTGATGTTCTCACCATAACAACAACAATGAAATGATAATTGTGTTAGGCGAAGGTGTGTTAACTAACCTTATTGTGATAAATAAATCACATTGTATACTTTCAACTGACACAATGTCTTATTCAATTATATCTCAATAAAGCCAGGGGTGAAAAAAGAATAATGGGTTTTCAGTAAAATAAATTAAATAGAACACAGGTGGGGATGGAGGCTGGCATTCTGACTCCAGAGTCTGTGTGTTTAATCCCTATATCAGACTGCATTCCTCAGTGGAAGAAGAATTCTGGGAAGTGTGTCGCGTGAATGGGCAGGTAGTTGAGGCCATACCTGAATGTGTTCCCGCACTGCTGAAGGATTTGCCATCACTGTTTGAGAGTCTCTGATAGGGTCACCAGATTTTGCAAATAAAAATACAGGATCCCCAGTTAAATTTGAATCCCAGGTAGACAATGAGTAATTTCTAATATGAGGTGTCCCGTGAAATATTTGGGATATACTTCTACTAAAATGTATTTCTCATTTATCTGAAATTCAAATTTAACTGGGCATCCTGTATGCCATCTAGCGTTCATATTCCCGAAAGGCGGCGGGATGGCGAGTCATTTCACATTAGCCTCTCTTTTCTTGCCAAGAGCCTGTGGCTTTTTCTTTAGATTTGAGCAAAATGCTACCAAAGAATCAAATCCAGCCCACTGCCTTTTTTTTTTTTAAATATGTCCTGCAAGCTAAAAATGGTTTTTTAAACATTTTTAATGATTGAAAAAATCAGTAGAAGAATGATATTTTGTGACATATTAAAATTCTACAAAATTTGATTCTCTTTTGGTGTCCATAAAGATTTATCGATACAGGGGCAGGCTCATTTGTTGACATATTGTCTCTGGCTGCTTTTGCACAATGGCAGATTCGAACAGTTGCCATGAAAAGTATATGACCTATGAAGTGTAAAAGAGTGATTCCTTGGCCATTTACAGAAAACATTGCCAACGCGTGTTGGACAATTTCTCATTCATGATGGGTAACAAGTTGTGATCGGCCATGTGCCACAGCGTATTTCCAATGCTCTAAGTTGGCCCCTTTGTCTCCCCCGCTGACCCCCGCCTCAAAACCGGCCTCTTTAATGATGTTTTGGCCCAGCCATCCACCGAGTTGACAACCTCCTTTACAAAGCTTGAATCTAGACCCTCAACTGCTTTTTCTTGAGGAACCACAATCCAAAAATCTGCCAGCGAGTTCATTTAGAAAAGGCAGGTACAACTGAGCAACTACAACAAGGTTCATCTTAAAGAACTGCCCCTCCTCCGGCCAGAACCCTTCCTTTCCAGAACCTTCTTGCCTTACCGACGAGAGCCCATGACCCGCAAATCCATTTGATTCTTCTTTATTGTTTTCAGAGACATGGGCCCTCAAACACATTGTACCACTTGGTCAGGGATGTCAAAAAGGTAAGAACCCTCCTGACTGAAGGTCGGAGGCCTGTCTTGACTGCTTCCTGTGATTAGAAAGCGCCTCTGTTTTGCATGAGCTGCCAGAGCAGTCCTGTCCCCGCGAGCCCCCTCATTTCAGGACGCTGTATGTGTGTGTGTGCGTGCGTGTGCGTGTGCGTGCGTGTGTGTGCGTTGCCTTTTAACGATGACATCTCTGCTTACAAGGCAGCTGTGGTTTCACCTCCCGCCTCTGTGGTTTTAGATGCTTTCACTGGACATAACGTTTTCGGAAGGCAGAACGTGTCATGTTTTTGAGAGCTTCGCACCACGCTGGGTGGATTTATGCCACTGCCTGTTTTCTCCCACACGCCCCTTACCGTCTGGGGAGCTAGTTTCCATGTTGTTGGACTAACTGTAGGCAGGATCGTCACGTCCTAGCTCCTGAGGCCTTGCGTCACTGTCCCTTCTAACATTATGCAGAGCACAGGAAACACGGCTCAGAAAGTCTCAAGCATCAGAGACGAAAACACATGTGTGCATATTCCATTCTTCTAAGACTTGATTTTTTCCGGTAGATTTTTTTCACATTGCCATCTAACTTGGTGGTGTGTGTTGGGCGGGTGGGGGAGACAAGCAGCCGGGAGGTTTGGATCAAGGAGAATTATTCCCATTTTACAGACATAGAGGGTGTGGTTAGGGAAGAGGCGGAGTTCAAACTCAGATCCTCTGATAAATAATCATAAAAGAGTGCCAGATCTTTAGTGACGACGAGGTGTGTGGCACTGACCTGAGTCTACTGTACATCGCAGCTCGTTTCATTGTTGTGACAATTCTTTGGAGTCGAATTGGTATTTGATTATTGTTATTATATAGTATGGTTCCAGGGTATAGATGGGAAGAGTGAGGGGCAGGGAAGCTATGTTTAATCTTAGCCAAGGGCTTGTGGTTTTGCTCCCTTTGCTCTCTCTCAGGGGTAACTAACTTCATTCTGAAACCTTGACAGCATTCCCAGACACTGCTCTTCTAACTCCAGAGGACAAAATAGATGGGGGCACTTTTCCCACCCCCTGCACACAGAGGCACCCCACCCACCAGTCCATAGCAATTCTTCACCAAAGCCCACAAGGACCTACTCAGAGAAGGCTACCAAGTAAGGTCAAAACTAGAGTACGATCCCTTCATCTCATAGGAGTCATTGTCTAGAACTTCCCTTAGAAGTTTGTTTCCCTTGAAAGGCCAAGTAAATGTCCTGGGGCTGCTGAGAATGTACGTATTAAGTAGCTAGACCTCTCCTAGTAATGAGTAAAGGGTACCAAAAAACAAACAAAAACCTTCTGCTGGCTCTTAGAGACTTTCCTCTCATCTCCACACAAACTTACTGAAGGGTTTTTCATCTGAGAGAGTGAGTGAAGCCTTCAAAGTGAGAGAAACAGACGCTGCACAATCTCTACCCCCAGTCCAACCAGGTGGTCTTTACCAAGACCACATCTTTCCCTGATTTGCCCCATTTAGAGCCAGAATCACATCTGCCACCAACAGAGCCATTTCTCTTATCCTCAAGCCTTCCAATTTTGTGTGATTTATTCTGGCTTAAAATTGCCTGGAAACTAAATAGGGGGAAGGATCTCGAAAGATTAAGTGTACACATCTAACGCATATTCTCTGCCAAGATATTTGTTGCTCGTGTACCACAAAACGTCCTGAGGGTTTTTAAATAGTAAATAAGATATCATCCCCTCCCCCATCACTGAGAGCAAGTCTGGGTCACTGCAGAAATTGTGAGACTTTCCGAAGAGACAACTATGCCTTTGTCCCTCAACCTCAGCCATAGGCCAATTCGAGCCTTCAAATAAAGTCACTGATTCACCTCCCTCCCCCCGCCCCATTTTCTCAATATTTTGCCGGATTTTCTAAGGGATTTTTGCAGTTAGGTTTCATTGAGTACAAATGATCAAAATCCCTCCTGTTAGGTTCTCTTCCTTGCAGGGCTCTGCTTTGCAACACCATTTCCTCCCTTCTGAAATCCCACTCACTGCCTCTTACAGTCGCTCACGTCACTGGCATTAGAAGGCATGTATTTTTAAGGTAGCGTTTTTTTTTTTTAACTTCTCAGCTAAAGATGTACTTCAGAAGTAATACAAACTAACAAGAGAGAATGGGATGTGAGGATTGGGAAGGAAGGAGTATTAGGAGCTGTCTTATTTTTCTTTCAAGTGTGATCCAAATATTGGAACAAAAATATATAAGGATTCATTTATGTACTGATTCAGTAACTGGAAAAAGTGATTGCAAATGACCCAGGGTAGTTCTGAGCTGGCTTAAGAACCAGTTAAACTTTTACCTGGGAAAAGAGACTGATAGTCGGGTGGGGAGAAACAGACAGCCTGTGTTTCGTTTCTTCGCTTGGGAAGAGAGAGGGACAGGAAAAGCAGACGCCTGTTTACTTCTGTGGACGAGGTGAGCCCCTGACTTAACGACGAGAAGGGATAACAGTGGGAGCTCGAGGAGGGGAAGTCTCTACGTTTCGTGTTATATGGATGAAGGGAGCTAAGAATGAGGGGCCTTTGTGTTTTCTTAAGAAGTAAATGAGAGGAGGGCGCCTGGGTGGCTCAGTCAGTTGAGTGTCTGCCTTCAGCCCAGGTCATGATGCCAGAGTCCTGGAATCAAGTCCCGCGTTAGAGAAGTTAACATCAATGCACATCTTCTTCAGATGGTTCCAGATGACGTCCAGCAGTTTAGGCCAATGCGATTCGCAGGGTCTACAAAAGCTAGGTTTAAAATGCTAAGAAAATCTTGGGCAGTTTAAGCCATTTTCAAAATTAAGGAAGTTGGTAATTCGCATGTGCTTTGTGCTTTAGGATTGTAGGACTTTATGTTACTTGTTAATTGATGTGATCTGTGACCAAAAAATATGAAACAATAAGGGATAAGCCCTGGTGTGAAATGCTACTCCTATGTTAGGAACATAGTTCTGAACCTTAAACATAGTGTTTGATGATATGCCTGGAAAATCAAAAGCAAATAACTCTTAGGAACCCAGGGAGTACGTTTAGGAATCACCTGATGGTCCCACGTAACAGCAGGCTATCTCCAAGCCCAGCTCTCCTTTGACTTCCACAGAACCAACTTTGGAGAACTGACTCTCAAATTATTTATATCAAGGGAACAATCTAGGAGCCAGGAGGTAGAAGGCTGGTTATACAGCATCCGTCAGAAAGTTTAAATGATAGAAGCTAACGCACTTCCCGGAACTGCTTTTCTGCATAAATCCATCGGACGCAACAAGGCCACATTAATCCAGAGCAGCCCGAGTCTGTCTGCTTTACCGCGAAATCTAACTTGCCATTTTTAGTAGCTAACTGTCTGCTCGATTTGTGCCTCTCTGTGTTTTAAAGTACTAGCTTTTCTTTCCTAACTTAAATGTGCTAATACTTTGGATGACCTGTACTATTATTCCCCACAAAGGGAGGGTGATAGTTGAGTATTATATAGAGGTAGTTGTGAAATTATGACAGTTTAATGTCATTCACGTGGGAATTAAGACCCAGAGCTTTGGCAGAACGAAAGGGTGGGGGAAGCATTTTAGACAGTCTTTGGATAAAGAAAGGACATTTTCATAATCCCATCTGCCGAATTCATGCAGATTTGCAAAAGAATTTTTATTTTTTAAAAGATTGCCTGGTCTATAACAAAGCTGAACATTGAGGGAATGTCCTCTTTTCCATAAACTTTGGCCAGAATAGACTTTTGAACACCCTTCCTTGGTAAACTCAATGACCAGCAATCACTTTACACCTTTATATACATCAGAAGGAAACAATCTTCTTTTGAATGCTTGTTATAAGTTTCCACAAAATGTGTTTCCTGAACAGCTGAAATCTGATAGCGATATCACGAGCTGACTTCTGAAAAAGTATATTCAGAAGAGCAGATCCATACATGCATTTAAACTCTTAGTTAAAAGTCATCTTTAGGATGGCATGGATTAAAATTTACCTTCAGAGAAGTAGCCAGATTTTTGTCAGATTTTACCTGCTGATAGAGCCAAGCCTCTCTGTTTCACTCTGTGGATCAAATTGTTTGAGTCACATGGCTTGCCATGTGTTGTTGAGGCATGAAAGGGGACGTAAGTGCTCAGGCATTACCAATTACCAAAGTAATTACCAAAAGAGGAAGGAGGGATGAACAGAAATGACAGAAGAAGCATTTCTTCAGTGTCGTTGTTGGCTTCCTATTTGGAAAGCCTCCAGGAGAAGGAAGACTCTTCCAGAAGGTTTTTGGACATTACCTGTGGTGTCTCTGCTTTTTCCAAAGGAGGTGGATGCGATGAGCTCAACACCATCTCTTTCTAGTCCTTAACTGTCCTGTCTCTGAGTCCTCAGCTCCACTGACCACACTTCAAGGGTGGTTAATGGGAACTTTGTCAACTCTGCATGCTCTGGACAATAGTCTTTGCCCAGAGCCCAAGCAGCATAGAAATGAGAGCAGCCTGCCAGGTACAGGTCAGAAAAATTGGACCTCTAGAAATAGACATCACCTTTGAAGTCACGCTGCCCAAAGTGCCTGTTTGCAGAGTGTAAACTGAGTCACAGAGAAAGGAAGCCATGTGCCCAGGGTCACAGAGAAGCAGAGCTGGACCACAGTCCAGCCCAGTGCTATTTCCACTGCGGGGTGCTACTGCGGGCTGTTCTCTGTGTTTGTGATATCTAGGGTTGCAGGTGGCCAAGGCCATCAGCCCAGCGCATCAGACATACCCCAAATGTTCCCATTCCCTTCAGAGTTCATCTAGGACACAGTTATCCAAAGAGGCTAAGATGGTACACGATTTTATTAATTTTATTAAATCTATTTCTTCTTCCCCAAAAGGTTTCCATTCTCCCCAGTAAAAATTGTGAAACTAATTTCCCTTAATTTCCGTGCTTTCTAAGACTCTAGGGGGAGAAAACAGATGCAATCAGTCTTGCAGGCTTTCAGACACATTACCTGGTAAAGTAAGCTGTCCCTCCTCCAGATATTACTTTAACAAGGGCATCTGACTCCTGATTTCCAAGTCCTCCAATCTGCCCTATTCATGTACATCGCCTTATTACTCATATAAAACAGAACAGGCAGGTAAAATGCTGATGGAACCGCCATTGGGTTCGGTCCGGTGAACATCGCCCCCTTATGGTCAAACAGAAGGCCAGCCCGTTCCTTTAAGGCCTTTGCTCAAAGCTGGGCAGAACCAAGACTTTGCTTCCTTGAATCCCTTCTCTGGCTTGATACCAGATCCCATGTAAATCACTTCAAAATAATCAAGCTTTACATGAGAAGTTCCTACAAAAAAAGATTCCAGCACCTTCCTTAGGTAGTATATAAACCTAAGGGCCCTTTATGAATATAATCATTGGCAAAAATATTTTCTTTGCCCCTCTCAACTTTTGATTATTTTGAATTTTACCATTATCACTTTCCTGGTAACCCCTACTCCTATAGACAATCCCAAAGCATAATTCTTGACACTCCCTGTCGGTCTTCAGGCAATATTGGTGTCTTGTTCCTAGAACTCAAACTGACGTTCACACATCGGTGTCTCAAAAGAAAATATATAGGTGTTAGGTTCGCTGTTACTCATGTGTTTTAAATTGAGAAAATTCTTACGGGATTAAAAATAGGCACGCATTCATAGACTTGCTATGCCTTCCTTCCGAAAGCATCACACTACATCTCCTAGGTTTGTTTCTGTAACCTGGAACTTGGGCTTTACAGACAATAGAGGCCATCGAGTTCCACCCTTTGTACGGGAAGAAAACGGAGGCCTTGCAGGAAGCTGGTTGATTTATGAAGGACAGACAGAAAGAAGCCCAGGACAGTTGATTCCCAGCCACTGTTGTTTCCTCTGCCGGCCGCACAATGCCCAGGAAAATAACACAAATGCAGGACCTCCTCTGCGGGTCATCCTTATAGGAGCCAAATGCATAAGAGAGGAGGCGGACCCACACACGTCCAGGCTCTCGAGCTCTTCTATTCCTGAAAGAAGAGGCCTGCCTACCCGTCGGGTACAGCCCGTCGAGACAGAAACTCGCAGCCTTGCTCCCCTGCCCCCACACAGTGCAGAAAAGCAGTTGCAGGAGGAATATTTTCAAACTCAGTTTCGTGTTTATGGAAAGGGGGATACATGGACAGTTACCATCTTAAAACTTTCTCTGAGTTCCCTTTCCTCTGTTGTTGCCACGCTTGGCATAAAGAGGTCAGGCAGTTGGCCTTTTCTAATAGCCTGTGGGGAGCTTCCCTTGCCAGTGTGGTTAGGCTGATGAGCTGCTCAGAGGAGATGGCGGAATTCTGAGCATGGCAAGGAGGAGAATAAGGCCATTTTTATGACGGGAACTTTTGGGTGGGGTTCTGATGAGCCAAGCTCAAGGATGGGAGGTGTTCTCTGCCTGAAGTCCCCCAAGCCTGCTTTGTGCCCCAAGCCAAGGGAGAGGTAGAACCCGACGGGTTGGAACTGTGCAGAGGCGGCAAGCCAGTCTAAAGGGTAGCACTAGGCTCTCCTCTGCGGTGGGCTGGGACGACAACTGCTATCCCCTTGTTCCCACTCCACTGAAAATACCCGCAAAGCCATCGGTCTATTTCAAGTCGAATTTCCACAGTGACGCGGGGCTCTCCCAGATAGGATGACCCAGAGACCGTGGCTAGTTAGTTGCATTACTGACCAGAACACAGTACCAAGAAACCTGAAACTGAGACTGGATCCCAACCACATCAGTGAATTGTACTGTTTCACTCATTCTCAACTTCACCACAGAAACCTCCTGAATGCCGACCACACACCAGTCACTATAGAAGGCACGGGGAATACAGAGATCAGTAACACCCTCAAAGCTATAGGTTTGGTGAAAGACTACAGTGGGCCCCTTCTAACCCTGAATGCCCTTCAGATGGGTGCTGTTGGCCATAGCAAAGCTGAGTATGGGTAACAAAACCTATCCTCGGTTCTGCAAAAACGGAAGCTGATTTCCTAATAACAGTGATTGTACACCATGAGTTTTCTGATTCTGCCACGTGAGCCCACCTGACCCACCTTATTTAGCACAAACTTGGGTGTATCTCAGAACCACCCAGAGAGCTAACAAGGCACGGAGAAGCCCATACATTAAAGCCAGCGCTTGGCACTGTCACCAAGTTCGCCAGGTGATTCTGATGCCACCAAAGTTGGAGAGCCACCACCGTGGCTATGAGCCACTTCTGTAAGCGGCAGAAACCTCACACGGTATCGGGGTGGGTCCTCCATTAAGACAAAAGTAGACAGAGCCCTCCCACCTCTCCACAATATATCTGAGGCTTCCTACGCAGGGCAGGGCTGTACCCTCGTGGTTCGTGGTACAGAGCGTGCTCCTGCCGCAGGAAGCCAAACCAGACAGCGCGTTCCTTACTCGCGCTTTTTGGAACTCGCGGTGCGCTCAGAACTTGCCTAGATGGAACTAACTCTCCCCTGACCTAGCAGAGCAGGTATTTTCCTTAGACCCTAGAGAGAACCCTTTTGGTGTAGAAACCAGTAATGAGTAGACAATGAATGATAATAAAATCCTTATGTTTTGCATCCGTGCATACAAGCCCCATAAAACTTAAATGCCATCATTCTTGGTCTTTAAGAAATGCTCTTCTCTTTGAAAGAAAATATCCCAAACCTCCTTAATTCCAGGGAAATAAATATTCCCTCAAAATCTCTTCTCATGCCACCCCCTTTCTATCTAACCACAAAGGATGCTCCTAACTGACTTCATCCTGACATCCATCCGCTCTCCTTTTATGAAAAAGCTGCTCCTTTTTTTTTTTTTTTTCCATTGTTCATCGAGGTTTTGCAGAGGAACTCTCAGCATATCCCACCTGATGCAGGCGATGGTAATAACAACCATCTTCTGGAAGGAGTCTTCCTTTAGTGAGTGGGAAGAAGTAAATGGTTAGCAAAAGCGGGAGCAAGCCTGGGGCAGAGGCAGAGGCAGGGCAGCGCTGGGCGGGGGCCGGGGGACCTTCTGGGGAGCAGAGTTGCTAGCGGCTGGAGCTCAGTGTTTGCCATGTCAAGCCTTGTGTTTCTCTCTGCTACACTGGTGTTTTTTTCTCCCCAGCTGAAGACTTGAATAAATATTTTGATTTTCTGTTATTGCCGACGATTTCTGCATCTTCTTATTTAACTTATGTCTTCTTTCCAAGCGAGAATATCCAGGTTTCGGTTGGATCTATTTTAAGGTGAATTAATTAACCAGCATAATACTACATTCATATGTTTCTGAATTAGTTTTTTTTTTTTTACTCTAAAATAGTTACAGAGCACATGGCATCGAATCCCTAGTAAACCACACTGTCTTTTGCGTTTGTGTGTGTGTGTGTGTGTGTGTGTGTTTGTGTGTGTGTATGTGTGTGTGTGTGTGTGTGTCGTTCTTCCCTGATAGGGGAACCTGCCTCCGGATTACAGAATCAGCCTGATAGACATCGGCCTGGTGATAGAATACCTGATGGGCGGGGCTTACCGCTGCAACTACACGCGCAAGCGCTTCCGGACGCTCTACCACAATCTCTTCGGCCCCAAGAGGGTGAGTTTTGCAGCCGGTTCCCTTTCCTGGGCTCCTGGGGAGGACTAGGGTGGGACACGTTTGGGATGTGGCTTCGTTATCTCCCAGGGGGAGATCCAGTAAGAAGGCAGCTGGCCCCACCCACCTCTTCCCTCCACCATCAAATCCATTAAAAAAAAAAAAAAAAAAGGCAGTGTGTTGGGGGATACACCCCTTTCTTTTCCTCACTAGGTCCCGTTAAAATCAGAAACCGGCCCCGAGAGTGAGCCCTAATGATCAGGGACTAATCATGAAATTCAAATTAGTCTTACCTGCCTCAATCATGGTTTTTGGTCTTGGGAATCCATTTATACCTTTAAAAAATTATTGAGGACCCCCAAAAGCTTTTATTTCTGGGAGTTCTATCAATTGCTATTATCGTGTTAGGAATTAAAGACTTCACAATATTTATTAATTATTAATATTAATTCATTTTCAATTAACTCTAAGAAGCCCATTACCTGTTAACATAAATGACATGTTTGTGAAAAATAACTGTATTTTCAAAACAAAATTTGGTATAAGAGTAGCATTGGTCTACATTTTGTGCATATTTCTGTAATATCTGGCTTAATGGAAGAAAGCTAGATTCTCATATCTCCTTCTGTACTCTGTTGCCAGATGTTTGGGTTGAATTGTACAAAGAAAATCTGACTTCACACAAAGATGTGACAAATATGACAAATATATATAAGTGTATATATATATATATATATATGTATGAAGGAAGGAGTGTTTTAATAATTTTTACAAATAATTATATTCTTTTTTGATGCTGCATACATCAAAACTCAGTTGGCAATTTCTTAAAGATCAGTGGAAACATAAAATCTGAAATAGTTCAATGAACTTTTCATACCCTGCAACTTCAGATTGCATTGACTGATCTTACAGTTTGGATCTGGGAACATGGTAGACTGGTCATTGTATCATATCGGTTTGTCAAGTTATGCAGATCTTCTGACGGCTGACACATCTCATTAGACAATTTCAGAAACTCGCCCTTCACTAAAATCACCTCCAATCTCATCAGAAAAGTCTTTAACTTCTGAAAAACCGTCCAGGTCATGGGGGAGAGAATATGCAAGTTTTTAAAAATTCTAATTTTTTTCTAATTTTGGCTTGGAAAATTCTGTCATTGGCAACAAATACCATCAGTTAGTTATTTTCCTTGAAACGACAGCTCCACTTAGGCCATTACCAAAAACGTCCGCCCAATGTCCAAGGCTAAGTAAACGGTAGTTGGTCTACCAGTCATTCCTTCAAGTAGATCGCCCATGAAGCAGTGTGGCTCTAATCCAAGTAAGTGTGTGTTTGTCCTCAGAACGACCTGTCCTCTTCCACTATGTAGCAAAAGTGCTTTCAGCACACTTACCATTTCATCCCTCAAAATAGCCAAAAGACTTTTTTTTTTTAGTATGGAGGGTAGAGATTTAATATAGTTAACTTTTTTTTTAGGCCTCATCAAGGACTTCTTAAGTCTAACTGGTTTTTTGTTTGTCTTTAAATTTCAAGTGCGTAACAGTGGAATCTAATGGCAACTAGTGAAGTCTGGGGCTGCTGCCTTTGTCATTCCTGCTAGGGCCCCCCACAGTTTGGCTCACCACTCACTCACTGCCTTTGCACCATCATTGCAAAATGTTAATGGGTATTGAAACCAAAGAACATCCTAGTATTATTAGGAAAACACCTTTGAGCCCCAGAAAGGATCATATGATTCCTGGACCACATTTTAAAACTGTTACTCTAGCTGGTAGTGGGCATGATTTCTGCCTTTTTTTTTTTTTTAAGATTTTATTTATTTATTTGACAGAGAGAGATACAGTGAGAGAGGGAACACAAGCAGGGGGAGTGGGAGAGGGAGAAGCAGGCTCCCCGCAGAGCAGGGAGCCCAATGCAGGGCTCGATCCCAGGACCCTGAGATCATGACCTGAGTTGAAGGCAGAGGCTTAACCCACTGAGCCACCCAGGCTCCTTGATTTCTACTTTTAACAAAGCTGATCTTCTGATGATGAAAATATTTGGTGGTGCTCGAAGACCACTTTGAAAACACCAAAAAGTATAAATAAGAAAAATAAAATCACACAAATTTCAAACTGTGATCACTTTAGAAGCTAAAAGGGAAAGAAAGGGAGAGAGACAAGGTTCAGGCTAGTCTTAGTTTTATTTTATTCCAAAATAAAATTTGGAGGAATGGAGAATACTTTAACCTTGTTAGTTACCGAACAACTTCCAAGATAGCACCTCACCATTCTGTAACACTTAAAACACAGAACTGGAATTCCTGATCCCTGAGATGCAATTTTGTATCTCCACTTGTTAGGTATAAATCAAGTTCTGTAATTTGCTGAGTTGCCTTCTCTGTGTGTGTGTGTCTTGGCCTATGGCTATTTTGCACATTCCCAGCATGACCAGTGATCCCACTGTATGTGCTGACACTTTCCATGGCACTGAGCACCTTCTGCCATGGTCTGCACATGTCCTGGTGGCCCCACTCACCCTTGCCTTACTGGACAGCTACATAGGGAGATGGCCCGCGTGAAATAGCTAAACACATACTCTGAATAATATTCCAAGTCTCCAGGTAATAGAGGCCTTGCAAAAGGGCTTAAGAAATAGCTCTTGGTTTGACTGAGCCCAAGTGCTAGAGATCATGGAGATGTCAGCCAAGCAGTTCAGTTCTGGGAAGATGAAGAAATTTTGGGTCATAAAAGAGATTATCAACAGGGTCTACCCTTGGACGATCTCATTATGCCTCTCTGGGTGTCTGGTTTTCTGTGATTCACCAAAATCATTAAATCCTTAATTCTAGAATTTCTTTTTTTTATAAGATTTTATTTATTTATTTATTTGACAGAGAGAGAGAAAGTAGGCAGAGAAGTAGGCAGAGGGAGAGGGGGAAGCAGGCTCCCCGCTGAGCAGAGATCCTGACGTGGGGCTTGATCCCAGGACCCTGAGATCATGACCTGAGCCAAAGGCAGAGGCTTTAACCCACTGAGCCACCCAGGCGCTCCTTAATTCTAGAATTTCTATAAATGGGTTCCTCTTGTGGTGTTTTGTTTGGTGAAATGAATAAATGCTATATGTGCAGAAAAGTTCTTCTATTACCTGGTTAAGATATAGTAGGATTCTTTTCTTACCTCTATAAAGAAAAATCTAACTTTATATATAACATTTCTTTTTAAATAGCCCAAAGCCTTGAAACTACTGGGAATGGAGGTAAGTATTTGCCCAAATTATTAATGTCAATTATTTGTTTTCTTTATTATACATTTTAAATATATATGTGTGTGTGTGTGTGTGTGTGTGTACACACACACACACACACACATATATATTCATTTAATTGGTAAGGCTTAGTATGTGATTCTAAAATAAGAAAGGGAAGTTTTTTCCCAGTTTTTTTTTAAGATTTTATTTATTTATTTGACAGAGAGAGATCACAAGTAGGCAGATGGGGGGTGGGAGAAGCAGGCTACCCACTGAGGAGAGAGCCCCATACGGGGCTCAATCCCAGGACCCTGAGATCATGACTGAAGGCAGAGGCTTAACCCACTGAGCCACCCAGGAGCCCATTTTTTCCCATTATTAAGGGGGGCAAGTTACAGTAGCTTTGAAAATTCTACCATAAGGTTACATTAGCATTACAAGTAAGAAAATAAGTCTTACTTGAAATACTAATTTGAAAACCAAGGAAACATATAAATTCCAGTGAGTGAAATTTGTTCATGGTTGTTTACAACTAGCAACAGATCCAAAGGCCAGAAATACTTCACAAATGCATCTAAGAGGTTTGTAGAAAGTGGAGATAGGTCATCTGTTTCCCATTTCCCGTCTCTTTGTGTGGGTGTTGTCATTTATGCACCTGTAAGAAAAGGATGTCCTTGTCCTTTCAGAGAAAAGGGCAATGCTGTCCATCATGAGGCACAAATAGCCTTACCTGTAGGAAAAGAAATGGACAAAAACAAAAGTGAAAGGAAGGAAGGGAGGGAGGGAAGGAGGTAAGGAGGGAGGGAAAGGAGGAAAAGAAAAGGAAAAGAGAAAGGAAGGGAATGGCCCATTAAAAATACTTTTTAAAAATCAGGTATAACACCAGCATATTCCCATAGGGCTATGCTTCTGCATTCATTACAACTTATTTTAAAGTTAGGCATGAGTACTTTTGGGTTAGGAGCTGGGATAGGCTAGTTTGTTTCTGTGTTGATCCCGGATCAGGACCCTTAGTAGGTATACAACAAATAACTATTTAATAAATGTAACTGGTTCGTTTCTAACTCCACCTCTGTGTTTTTTCCCTAAAATTATAGGATGATGTCCCCTTGAGGCGAGGAAGAAAGACCACCAAGAAGAGAGAAGAAGAGGTGGACATTGACTTGGACGACCCTGAGATCAACCACTTCCCTTTCCCTTTCCACGAGCTGATGGTGTGGGCCGTCCTGATGAAGAGGCAGAAGATGGCCCTGTTCTTCTGGCAGCACGGCGAGGAGGCCATGGCCAAGGCCCTGGTGGCCTGTAAACTTTGCAAAGCCATGGCTCATGAGGCTTCAGAGAATGACATGGTCGACGACATCTCCCAGGAGCTGAACCACAACTCCAGGTTGGCCAGCCCAGCAGGGGTCCTCAAATACTGGAGGGTCTGAGCTACCCAAACCTTTAAGCGTGGGTAGTATCACCTCCATGGTACACACAAAGAGGGTGGACGTGAATAATTAACATTTGTGGCACACAGTGCTAGACAGAGAAGTATGCAAGATACATAGATTGTATTTCATCCTCTCGGAGAATTAAGTAACTTGCCCAAGATCACACCCTCAGGGTTGATAGGGCTCCAACAGGAACTGAGGCCTGTCCCATTAAAGAAGACCTACTGTACTCTGATTGTTGCTTTTTTCAGTCTACCTCCCCCATCCAGAGCCTTGAGTACCAGAACAACCACCTGCTTGACTTATGCCCCCAAAACATAGTAGATGCTTAATCGACGTCAGCTGGATGAGCAAAGGAACAGACCAGACCCTATGAAAGACAACGAGGCCACCCAGTAATCACCTCCCGTGGCTTGGCCCCCAGGTCCCCGCTTCCATCATCTAAGTCTCCAAGATGGCCAAAAGACACCCCCTCGCATTCTGTCTTCCAGGGACTTCGGCCAGCTGGCTGTGGAGCTCCTCGACCAGTCGTACAAGCAGGATGAGCAGCTGGCCATGAAGCTGCTGACGTACGAGCTGAAGAACTGGAGCAATGCCACCTGCCTGCAGCTCGCCGTGGCGGCCAAGCACCGCGACTTCATCGCGCACACGTGCAGCCAGATGCTGCTCACGGATATGTGGATGGGCCGGCTGCGCATGCGCAAGAACTCAGGCCTCAAGGTCAGCGCGCCCCGAAGGGCCTGTTGGCTGGGAGGCGTGGAGGGCTGGTTTGGCTCTCCCCAAGCCAAGTCTGTGGCAGGACTGGGCTCTCTCTGGTCTCAGGAGGGTGATTTGAAGCTCCAGCTATGTATCGGGATCTTTTCTATGGTGGGTTGTTGTTTTTCTCATATAGAGACTAGGGCCAACCCCAAATTCTGCTAAGTCAGAACTTCTAGAGACGGCATGCCCAGACGTTAGTATTTTGCAAAAGATCCGGAGGTGATGGGCCCACAGAGGTGCTATAGGAAGTACCGTTCACTCTGGCACAAGCCGTGCTATACCAGGAACCCCTCACCAGGCAACCTGTCCTGGCTGCCCACACCCCAGTGCCTCGGCTGTCTTTTGCACCGTGTCATAGGGACACTGGCTCTTAGCAGCTGTGCTTGAGAAACGTTTTAAACTGACAAAAGGAGACAGATTTATAGGTAAAGATGTTGCCATATCATCGCGATCTATTCATAAGTGAAGAGGAACAAGTGGTAGACCAGTTATATAAAGCCTGAGTCCGTCTGTGGTTTTTTTTAAGCATGTACGTGCCTAGTTACATCTGTCTATGATTTTGTTAAGAAACGAGGAAAGATATACTGTCAGTTGTTTGTAGCAGTTACTTCTGGGCTGGAAAGTACAAGACATGGGACGACACATGGCTTCGCTTCTTTATGTTTTCCTTAGTGTTTCACAAGGAAGTCCTTAAACTGAAAGACGTACAAAGAAAAAATGGGAGGGTGAGATGGAAAGAATGTTTTCAAATGCTTTCTCGGTCGAGAGTTTGTGGCTGTGACAACGGAAGTCAGGCTCACATCTACCTGGAGCTACCTGGTCTGGGTAACCCTGAGGTCAGAGCCAAGCAGAAGGGCCACCAGACCAAGCATTCCAGAGGCCACCCTGATGGACCCAGCACCCCTCCCCCACACCACCCTTCCCACGGGTTCTTGGCCCAGAGTCACAGAAGGGCTCCATGACGTGGGTCATGGGTGCTTCATAGCCATACCGCTAGCGACTGCCAAGCCTGGCTCTCTGCTCCGAGGACGGGGTGTCATGTCCCCGGAAGGCTGCCAGCCAGCCACCTGAGCCTTTCCAGGCCTGCCAGTCACCCCGACCTCAGGGCACCTCCTTCCCTTTTCCCTTGGTTGCTCCCGAGTCCCTGTGGGCATTCAAGCACAGGCTGTCCCTGCCTCATTACGTGAGGATCATTTTCACTTACTGCTCGGGATCTCTCTGAGCCCTTCCCCTTGGCGCTGCTTCTCCAAGGACGCTCGTATTCAGAAGTCTCATACAGTAGAACCAGCTTAGTGTTTGAGAGGAGAGGTGGGAGAAGATAGAGGGAGCCCAAGTCGCATGCCCAGATTATCATTCAAAGGCAGAATGAAATCGTCCCTTCAGGAGAAGGGCCCATGCATGGATTTATTATCGTCACATGGAGGTGGAACCATGTCCTTTATACCTGAGAGGAACACAGTGCTGAGCCCCATGGTTCCTCATGGTGAATAAGGAGCCCATGTGTGTGTGTGTGTGTGTGTGTGTGTGTGTGTGTTTCTGTGCTATAGTAGCAAATACCAGGCAAGTACTCTGGAATGAAAGCATGCTTTCCCACATGGACTTCCTCAAGGTCAACTGGGGACAGCCTTCTTTTACAGAGATAACCAGATGATGCATAATCACCTCCACTTGACGTATTAGCAGATAAATGCCAGGGGACATATGTAGGAATTGATTTCGCAAAACCAAGCGCTGATGGCTAAAGGAAAATCTGAATTCTTTCCCACTGTGGCCTTGGGCAGGTTCTGGCATTTTCCTGGGTCTCTCCCATGCCAAGTGGGTGTTAACTGGGTAAGATGTATTTGGGCAGGATACTGTTTCTCCAAACTCGGGCTGAGCTCCTGCCATGCATGACAGATTCTCAGACAGGCAAGAGTGACCCCCTGAGCAGTAACATATGCAGGTCCTTGCTCAGGGCACGCACAGTGCCAACACGCATGCGCACGCGCACACACACACATACACACACACCCCTCCCTAGGCCCTCTGATTCTAAAAAAGAAAAACAAACAAAAAAACGCCCTAATCTTAATCCTTTAAATGTGATTATTATTATTATCATTATTATTACTTTAGGTAATTCTGGGAATTCTACTTCCTCCTTCAATTCTCAGCTTGGAGTTCAAGAACAAAGACGACATGCCCTACATGTCTCAGGCCCAGGAAATCCACCTTCAAGAGAAGGAGCCGGAAGAGCCAGAGAAGCCCACGAAGGAAAAAGATGAAGAGGACATGGAATTGACAGTAAGGAAAACCACACAGTCATGGTCCACGGGCAGCAACCCTAACCTCCTTGAACCATAGACTTAAGGCTTAAGACTTAAGATGGCTTAAGACTCAGTCACTCCCGAGCTCACCCTCCAACCAGGTGTTTCCTTGAAGGATGCAGACCTGGGTATTACAAAAGGGTCTTCTCTGTGCACTGATGTCCGTTTCTGCGCAAAATCCTTCAGCCAGAGTCAGTGGCGCAGGGCCACCCAGGAGGACTGAAAAGCAAGGCACCTTCAGCTTTCCAAACGGGCAATGCTTTATACACAAGCAGGGGAGGTGGCTCGGAGCCTACAAGGGAGGCAAAGGCATCGATGCGATGGGAGCAGCCAGCTTCCCTGGGCTGGAGCCATGCAGGTGATCAGATGCTCCGCCTTTTTGTCTTCAGGGTCAGGCCCACAAATGCAGGACTAATTGAATTTTGAGGTTTGTATGGAAGGCTTTTATTAGCTCTCTCTGGTATAATTATAGAAAGTGGCTGCTTTGTTCTGCAGGGGAAACAGGGCAGCTGGGCATGGGACGGCTTCCCGCAACCCCCGCCCAAGCAGCGTGACTGCTACTGGATTGTATCCAGTCTAAAAATATCACCTGCCGTTAAAGGGACAGGCAGGGCTTCAGAGTTTTGGAGACAGCAAGTAACAACTCTGTAGGACTTCCTTGATATCCCCCGCCCTCCCCCACCATGACTGTGATGACCCAAAAAACTTGTAAAGAGAGAAAACAAAAATGGGTTTTGCTCGGGTGACAAAAGGCCCTTTGCATTATTAGCCTAGTGAGACCGCCCTGTGAATAGTTTTTCTTCCAGATCAACAATATTTCCTTCCTAAAGGGAGCAGTTCCAACCCCAAGTACAGCAGGGCATAGGCATCTGACCACTCTTCTGATTGATTAATCATTCACAGTTTTTGACTCACAGAGTTTAAAAAAAAAAAAAAAAGAAAGAAAGAAAGTTTGTTTTCCATTTCAGGATTCTTTTTTTTTTTTTTTTTTAGATTATTTATTTATTTATTTGACAGACAGAGATCACAAACAGGCAGAGAGGCAGGCACAGAGAGAGGAGGAAGCAGGCTCCCTGCTGAGCAGAGAGCCCGATGCAGGGCTCGATCCCAGGACCCTGAGATCATGACCTGAGCCGAAGGCAGAGGCTTTAACCCACTGAGCCACCCAGGCAGCCCTCATTTCAGGATTCTTATAAAAACGAGTGGACGGGTCTGCTTGCCTCCATGATAGGATCAGAAGACCGTCTCCATAAAGAGCTTACCATAATGGTGACCTCTAAATCCCTCAGGGAGAGGGAACGATGTTTTAGTCATTAACAGAAACAGTAATAGTCATGGTACCAAGTCTTTACCGAATACTTCAGTAGAGGGGCAAAGAGTGTACAGCCTGGACCCAGAATCCTGCCCCAGCACCTATGCACTGTGGGACCTGGGTCATGGCTGCTTCACCTCTAACACGGGAATAAGAACGTTATCCAGCTCACAGGTAGTTTTTCAGTCTAAGAACCGTACATGTAAATTCTCTAGACCAGGGCCTGGTACACAGTCAGCCTTGATAAATGTTTGCAAATATTGTGATCACAGTAACAAATATTTGATGTGCACCTACTCCTGGAATCCTCCCAGCCATCCCATGAGGTAGATACTGTTATTATCCCATCTTACAGATGAGGAAGCTGAGACTCAGAGAAGTTAAGTTGCCCAAGGTTACCCAGCTAATTAGTTGCAAGGCCAGGATTAGAACCCAGGTATAGAGATCCCATTGGCCATGCTTGGAGGCCTATAGGCTCAGGGATGCAGAGAATTTCTTCTTAGTCTCAAATGTAGGGATTCAGGTTTGGTCTACCATATAGCAGAAAGAATCCAAAAATAATGCATGGGCCTCCTGCATCAAGGATGACATGACCTTGAAGCCCAAGGAAGGAGCCTATGAAGGCAGCCAGGTGCTAGATCAGCATTCTTTGTGGTTGGGTCTCGAGCAAGAAAACAACAGAAGCAGCTCCCTTCTCCTGCTCTAGATAGAACTTCGAGGGCCTGGACCAAAGTCTGGTTCCCAGAGAGTCGGCCCCACTGTTGTATACCCAAGTCAAAGCCAGCCCATGAGGAGTACTGCCTGGCTTTCTCCCCTGCAGGCAGAAAGAGCTAGGAGGAATGGAAGAAGGGACTTGTGGGCTGGTAAAGTCAGGGCTGAACAGCAGCTGTCTTCAAGCTGGAGCTTCCTCTGACCCCAAGGACAATTCTGTGACTGCTGGATCACTGTTCTTGTCTCACCCCGGGGAGGGTTGAAGAATGCCCCCTGTTGATACCTCCACTCTTTTCATAGGAACACTATCTGGACTTCTGTGTTAAGCCAAACATCTCCTTTCTTGGACTGGGACGTTTTCCCTGGCCCTTCCAAAATTATACACGAGCATGAGTCTCAGTTTCATCTCGGTAGCCTTTCACAGATCTTTCCCAGACCCGACATCTGTGTCCAGCCAGCAAAAAATTCTCCAATCCATATTGTGCCGTTTTGCCTGTATTTGACCCTATTACATTCCGCTAAAGGAATGTAGTCAAAGGAAATGTTTGGCTACTGGGAAGAGAAATCAAGAAAATCAGTCAGTTGAGCTGCTTAGGCTAGAATTAATGAAGTTTTGGAAAATGCTTTCCTTCAATCCATGAAAGAAAAGCATTTTAAAAAAGCATTCACTTGGGAATTATTGAATAAGAAAGGCCAGGCCGGCTGTGGTGTTTTTGTTTTTGTGTTACCTGCATTGCTGGATAAGTGTTTTTGCATTCTGCCTACTAAAGTCCCAGCCTGTCCATGGACCCAGGGCATTGTTTCAACTCTGTTGAGGGAAGCCACTGTCCCTAGAGGTTACCCCAAGATGTCACCCTCCAAGACGCCTAAAACTCCCCAAGGTGCCTTTGCTAAGGTTCTATTATGTCTCCAAATAGTACTGTACTGTTGAGCAGATAAATAAGTAGAACAGAGGCAGGATAAGTATGTTACATAAATTATAAATTATAGAAGGATAAATATCATGGAACGTCGGAGTTTCTTGAGGTCAATATTTATAGAAGTCTAATGTGCTCTATCCATCATGAAGGCTGACCCAGCTCACTGACCAAATGAAGGCTTGGATAGGCCATCAAATGGGATCTTACCTATTCATTAAGTTAAGGCAACCTTCTAGCCAGAGAGTCCAAGAAAGAAATGGAAGTTACCTCGTTACCTTCTCCAGAAATCCCACAGATTACAGGTTTATCATTTATTGTTATATATGTGAGTAGTTAGATAGTTGAGACAAGGACAAAAGTAGTTGAAACTTATATATGTATGTCTTGAGTAAGGTGGTTTGAAACCAGAATTATCTGGTTCTCAAATTCAAAATAAACAAATTATTTCTATAATATAATTATAATAATGTCTATAATCCCAGTATTTTTCTTGTCCCAAATCCTTGTCAGTCTCTGAGCAGTTAGAAGGATTTGCCCTGTTATCACATTTAATAAAAATCTCATTTCCCTCAAAAAAAAAAAAAAGTCTTTTGCAATGATATAGATGGAACTAGAGGGTATTATTCTAAGTGAAATAAGTCAGTCAGAAAAAGAAAAGTATCATATTTGTCTTTTTTATTCATTCATTTCATTTATTTCATTCATTCATATGTGGAATTTAAGAAAAAAGACAGAGGATCAAGGAGAGGGGAAGGAAAAATAAGACAAAAACAGAGAGGGAGGCAAACCATAAGAGACTCTTAATTCCAGGGAACCAACTGAAGGTTGCTGGGGGGAGGTAGGTAGTGGATGGGGTAACTGGGTGATGGGCATTAGGGAGGGCACTTGCTCGAATGAGCACTGAGTGTTATATGCAACTGATGAATCACTGAACTTTACTTCTGAAACTAACAATATACTATATGTTAATTAATTAAATTTAAATAACGTAAATAATAAAAAATACAAATAAATAAAAATGTCACTTACCAAATATTATAGAACTAACCTTTCCTTAGAATAATATTGAAAGAATTAAAGCCAGCACACCTGGGTGACTCAGTCAGTTAAACATCCAATTCTTGATCTCAGCTCAGGTCTTCATCTCAGTGTTGTGAGTTTGGGTCCCATGTTGGGTTTCACACTGGGCATGGAACTGAAAGAAAGAGAGAGAGAGAGAGAAAGAAAGAGAAGGGAAGGAAGGAAGGAGGGAAGGGGTTGGGAGGAAGATGGAAAGGGAGAGAAGGAGAAAGGAAGAAAGAGAGAGGAGGAGGAAGGGAGAAAGGGAGAAAGAAAGGGAGAAAAGGAGAGATAATGGAAGAAAGGAAGGAAGGAAGCCAATAAATTATGTTATATTAGACCCTGATAATACTTTTCTTTTTTCTGGTGAGAGATTCCCAACTAGATCCTTTCAGTCAAGAGTACCCAAGAAAGTCTCAGTTCGTTGTAAACACCAGCTGGAATGTACTGAGCTCTTATTAAAAGGACAGATGCTTATTGATTTATAGACCAATCCTATAAAAGATGCTATTATTACCTCCAATTTAAGATAAAGAAACTAAGATTCAGAAAGCTTTTCCCAAGGTGCCGTGGGTGCCACATATCCAGGAGAGGACTCAGTCCTCCTCCTGAGTGACCCAAAGTCTGGACCTCTTCACCAGTGGGTTCTCCAGCCCTCTTTGGGACACTCATCCTGTCACGTGCTGTCCAGACAGGCATGCATCTGCCTTTTCTCAAATTCTGCCTTTTTTTGTGCTGTTTAATGACTGTTTTTGCTGCTGCCGTTGCCATGAGTGAGAAGAAAACAATTCTATTTGTAAAGAAACTTCCAACAGCCTGGAGACCAGGCCTCTCCAGGTCAGGCCCTGCTTCTCCGAGTCCCACTTGGTGGACTGTCCCACCCAGAGGAATCCGTGTGCCTAGGAGTCGCCATGAAACTAATACCAGCAGGAATGCAGGATTTATGGGGTCTGAAAACCAGGAGCCAAGGTTTATGCCTCAGGTAGAGATGTTTCTAACCTAAGCTCCAGGCATTTCAGATAACTTAGCCTCTGAAACACTTCATAACCTTTGGGTAAATTAGGTATTACTGGTCCAGTGTATTTTTTGCTTAAGAGTCGTTAGCCTAAGTGAAGACAGAATTCGAATCCAGATCTGCCTCATTACATGTATGGGGAGAGGGGGTGGAAAAAGAAAAAAAGATGCCGGACTTCTCCCTGTCAGAACCCTGGGTATCTTCCATCATGGACATCTTCCAGAGCTCCCAGGGTAGAAGAAAAGAGAGTAATCAAGAGCTCTCCCTAAGGCTTCTATCCTGGGCCAAAACCTTTGATTCTATATATATTGCAAATGCACACTTAGGAAAGGCACAACGTCTGAATCTTTAGGGACCCAGGACAACACCCTCCAGCTCTGTGAGCATGCATGCTTGGTTGGTAAAATGAGCACATTGAACTACCTGCTTTCCAGGGCCCTGCCGTGAAGGTATTGATTCTCTTCCACTGTAGGCAATGTTGGGACGCAACAATGGGGAGTCTTCCAGAAAGAAGGATGAAGAGGAAGTTCAGAGCAGACACCGGCTGATCCCCCTGGGCAGAAAAATCTATGAATTCTACAACGCACCCATCGTGAAGTTCTGGTTCTACACCGTAAGCATCTTCCTTTTTCTTCTTGCTCACGGGTGACCGCAGAGAGCCAAGGTCAGGTTTGCGTGCACGTACGCAGCTTCCTCTGAGTCCCACAGTGGAAGGATCACACAGGCAGGAATGAGAGCTTTTCCCAGGGGTTCTGCAAGATGTGTGGAGTGTGTGAGGCAGCTTCCACAGCGTCTGCATTTCTCCTCCTTGCAGAAAATAAAGGAAATGGTAAAAGTGAGAACTAACAGAAATAGAGGTGAGATGAGTATGAGTCTAGTCTAGCAGGAAAATAGATGTCATTTTCTAAAACGCTTCTGTGTTCTGGTTGGATGAGCGCTGGATCAGAGTTGCCCATTTTCGATGCCAATCCTGGGTTTGGGGGACGCCTGAAGGGTAAGGACTGAGCAGAGTGTCAGAAGTAACACCACTAAAGGGTGGAGGTGGGGGGAACCTAATTGTGTGACTACTGCCAACCTGGGAGTTTCATCAAACAACCTTTCTTGCTCAGACACAATTAAACAACGTGCCAAACAAGGCAGCAGAAAGCACTCACAGTCACCTACGATCGTGGCAAGGATTATTCAGTGCCCAGAGATAAAGATCGTCCCTGAAAGAGCCTCTGGATAGGGAAGAAATGGCTCCGCTGTTGGCTTTCTACTTCTCTGTTTCATGGTATTTTAAGCCGAAGGTGAGCGCAGGCTCAGGTCAGCTCTGTTCTCCCCAGCCACAGTGGCACGGTGCCAGATGACGGAGGGCATTTGTATTTTTGGCCTTTCTCAACCAGCTACACACCAGTCACCTGAGTCAGCAAAGGAAAATCCAAGTGCGAGGCCAGGATGACTCAGCTGACCAGCTGAGCTGTCTGTCCTGCATGGTCCTGTATGCTCGCACTTGACGCTGTCTTTCAATCGGGCTTTCGGAACCTCAACACGACTGACACGTTAGGCAGAGTGATTCTTGGTGGAGGAGGACTGTCCTGGGCATAATCGCACGTTCGGCTGCAGCCTTGGCCTCTGTCCACTAGATGCCAGCAGCGTTCTCTAACCCCGGAGCGGGGTGACCACGAGGTCTCCGGACATTGCCCCATGTCCTCCCTCCCCGCCTTATGGGCTGACGTTGCCACGGGTCAGGTTGGAAATGACTGCTTTCAACTAAGATCTTGGAAGAGGTTATCATCAAAATATAATTATCAGATTTTTTTAGTGAAGTAAAAATTCCTTAAGATAGGGATAATAATAGTACCTACTTTGTAGGATTTAGGAAAGATTAAATGTGTTAAAATATGTAAAGCACTTAGAACAGTGCTTGGAACGCGGAAGCACAATAGGAATGTAACTGTTTTTATTCTGAGGCTAGTCACAGTGCACAGCGAGAGGGTTTTTTATTCATCCATCCACTCAATAATGTTAATATCCGTCTTTGAACACCTACTATGCAGCCCTGTTAGGAGTGCTTTACATAGACTTTCCCTAAACGAACGGTTTTATCAAGATAATGGTTTTCCTGCATTTTACACCCATTCCCGTCTTTCCTCTCATACCAGGCTCCCTCAGTTGTCTCCACCTAGAACAGGGCTTGGCAAGCTACATTCCCACAGGCTGAATCCAGTCCCAAATCCAGGCGCATCATTGTGGACTGCAAGCTAAGAATGGTTTTCACATTTTTAAAGAATGGAAAATAAAATCGAAGGAAGAACACTTTATGACACATGAAAATTATATGAAATTCACACTTCAGTGTCCATAAAATAAAGTTTTCTTGGAACACAACCAAATTCATTTGTTTACCTATAATCTGGCTGCTTTGTGCTACAACCATTGAGTCAATTACTTGCCATGAAGGTTGTCAGGCCTGCAAAGCTTCAAAAATAAACTTTCTCATCCTTTACAGAAGAAGTTTGCTGTAGACTTCCTGATCTAGAGCATAAAGGAACCAGAAGGAGCCATACTATCGAGAATTATCTATTACCTTTACAAATACAGGACTCCCTTCTCTTATCCTTCCAAAACTTCTCTTTTTCCCTTAATCTTTGTTTAGTATTAACTTTATTTCTTTGATTCCCTTGGCCCCCATTTATTCAGCTGTGGTTTCTTAGCCAAGGATGCTTTTATGTCACCAATGCCCTGGACAGTGGTTTTCAGCCTTGGCTACACATTGGAACCACCTGGAGTACTTTAAAAAGAAAAAACAATACCTGGGTTCCATTTAATCTCTATCTTCATCTATTTTTTTAAGGGCACCTGGATTCTATTCTCAGCGATTCTGACATCATTGGTCTGGGGCACAGCCCAAGCATCCGGGTATTTTGCAGCTCCCAGGTAGTTGTAACGGGCAGCCAGGGTTAAGAACCACGGCTCTAGGCAGAGGCCCAGGTTTTAGCCCAGTATTTCCCCAAACTTCTGTGATGATAAAGAATCTTGTTAGACATGCAAATCCTGTTCCCATCACAGACCCGTTAAATCAAATCTCCAAGGAGGAGATGAGGAGGCTGTAGGTTTAACAAGCTTCCCACGTGAGTTCTGTGGTTCTGGAAGCTTGGGACACACTGCTTTCCTTGTCTCATTAGTTGGCAGGTCGTGAAGCTGCCTCTGAGAAGGGGAGCCTCTGTGTCTAGCTCCCTCCCACACAGCTGACTATAGACTAGATGCCCCAGTCCTGTTTGGTTGTATTTACACGACGACGTTCAGAAACCCATATTTATGTATTTGCAAAGCCCAGGCCTCAAGGAAGTACCTGGAGATGAGGAGTGCCCGGTTTTGAAATCCCCAGAGACGCTTAAGAGGAAAATTCAGCTTTAGATCAAATGTCCCCATGGCTTTCAGTTATGTTCTTTTCTGTAAGAGTATTTCCCACTCTGATTTCAAAAAATATCCCCTTCTACGCTCCCAAGTTTCTCAAAGATAGGACACACCTCGCTTCCGCATAACCTCACTTCTAATATCTTAGCAAGCTTCTGGAGGAGCAGGTTGGGTCCTCTTCTGTTCCAAGAAGAAAGGAGGCAGGGATCCAGCTGGCTTCCAGACCTGGTTTGTAATGAAAGCCATTTCAGCTGCCCAGCTGGAGAGAATGCCAGTTCAAGCTATGAAAGAGGACCCAAGACAGAGCACAAGGGACATGCTCCAGGCTCCTCCAGCATCGACAGACTCCTTCCTCCATTTCAGTGCCACGTGTCCCCTCCACTCTCCAGCAGCAGTAGGAAAATCCGGACCCACCCGACCTACTGCGGGCTTTGGTGCTTGTATCACATAGTTCAGGAGTTGTGCATCTTGTCAATGGAAAATTGATACAAAGAATATAGAAGCCAATAACATAAAACCCTTACAGGATTCCCGTTGACTTCAATAAGAGTCATAAGGTTATGTTTCTATTCAAAGCTTTGACATTCTACACAGAGCCTATGAAAGCTTACAAAATACGTGTGTGGATGTGTCTACACATGCACGCACACACACACAACATGAAAGCATGTCATGTTAAGTTAATCTGCGGCAAGGCTCACAAATGTTGGTGAGTTCTAAGATAGGTTGCTTCCCAGACAGGAGCCAGTCCTCCGTCGTGCCATTTAAACACATTTAAACCCGTATTTTTGGAAGTCCATATTTTGAGAGTTGTCCCAAAATGTTATATTGTAGCCTGATTATGGAAAGAAAAACACCATAGAGTAACTGGGATTTAAGGAACAGGCTGATCATGGAAGAAGCATGAATGTTAACAGGGGCAATTTAGAAAAGGAGAGGTATGGCTAGTTAACAGGATCCAAAGGAAGCAAGGAGTGAGGCAAGAGGAGACAAGAGAAATAGAACTTTCTTGAAAAAAGAGGCAAATAATAACCGTAGCCACCATTCATGGGGCCTCTACTGTCAGGAAAGAGACATGCATTTCCCCCCCCCCCCCCCCAACCCAGTCCTTCCCAAAGCTCTGTAAGGTCAGTAGCCATCATCTCAGGTCAGGATGAGGCCCAGGCAGGTGACATGATTTACCCAAAATGATACAGCTTGGAAGGACCCGAGCTAGGATTTAAATCCAAGTTTCACTGACCGGGGTGTCTACATTCCTTCCACCCAATGAATATGCTAGACCTGTATTTGGTCTAGCAAATATAGAGGCAGGTTGGAGGAGTGAAATGATAAAACGCTAAGGTTCGGGAGAATGGTGTGTGTGTCACTGGGCCTCCATGTGCCAGGAGAAGATAATGCTTTGGAATGTGTTGCAGTGAATTGGGCGATAACCACCAGGGCAGTTAAGGAGACTGGTTTGTCCTGAAGCAATGGAATGGGCTCCAACAAACAAAAAGAAGCAACCAGAAAGGATTTCAGGCCAGGAGGGGGCTCAGCATATGTTTTAGAGTTTAGCTGTCGAAGTCCACTGTGTCTTGAGAAATACTCACGGGGACCAGAGCGGATGCCAGTGTATAATGGTAAACAGGAACCCCATGAGCCAAGTTACATTTTAAACAGCATCCTGTGTGCTTTCAAGGAGAGGACACTTCTCAGATGAGGTGGGCAGAGGGTGCTGAGAATCCCCAAGGGGAGGGGTGGGACCTGAGGTGTGGAATAGAATGACAGGCCCAGAAGGGGCAGGTGTACAAGAGTGTGTCCATCAGGTGGAGAACGAGCCCTCCTTGCCCTCGGGCCTCCCCATGGCTTCCGCACCCAATCTGCAGAGCTCTGACATCTGTTCACCTCGCCGGAGGTGAGGAATTAGAGGGTCGTGTCTGCAAGCGCACCAAAGTCATTGGGTCTTTAAAAATGCCTTTGACTCATATTAAGAATCTGTGTATTCATTTTATTGAAAAAGGAGAGAAAGGGAGAGGGAGTGGCCCCATTAGCGGAGAATGCTGTATTTCTCCAGCTTTGCAGGGCTGCTGGCTCCCCTTCGGTCTCCCAGCCAGGCGGAGCCTTTCTCCACCTACTAAGCTGCCTCCAGGGCTCCAAAGTCACCCTGTACCTCTAAGGCCTCAACCTTTTTGCCCACACTGTGTCCTATTCTTTGCTATGTGGGCTCTGAAGAGTGCCCATAGGAATGAAGTCACTCTCAGTTCCCACGCACAGCCTCAAAGCCCCCAAAATCAGCAAGCACGTTAGCTCGCAATGTCACCTAGACAAGGCTGAGCTCACACGCCATTTCCCTAAGGGGGCCTTTTTCTCCAGAGGTTCCTCGCCCCCCTGTGCGAGAACCTCACCAGCCCTCCTCCACTCCACCCACTCATTGAGACGTAACTGAATGCTCCAGGGACAGTCACCAAACCTGAGCCCTGAGTTTTCCTCAGACACCTAGCCCTTCAGCCAGTCCTATTGGGATTCAAACAGGATTCAAGCCTCGTGAGGATTATACCCCCTCCAAGCTGCAGTAGGATACACAGACCTGTTCCTTTCTCTAAATCGCTTTCTCTTCTCTTGTTTTCTTTTGAAGAAGCAGAAACCAGGGAGGAAGACCCCAGCTTGGGTTGGGTGGGGAGGTGGTACAACGGAAAACAGATAAATCCCTCCCCAGGGTCCCGCCAAGCCAAGCGCATTAAAGTAGGAGGGAAAAAAAAAAAAAAAAAAGGAAAGAAGAAGACATGAACTCGGAAAATAATTCAAGTGAGACTTGGAGATCAAGTCCAGTCTATTTTTACGTAGGTTTGACTGGTTTACAAGTACAGTATAGTATGTGTCTTCCTTTCCTTCCTACAGACATTTAATCTACCTGGCATCCGTTAGGCTCAAATCCACTGTGTTGCCCTCGTTCAAGAACCTGAGACTCAGGCAGGAACGAGAATAGCCCTGAGAGAAGCGGTTTGCTTTTTAGCCAGAAAGACACAAGAAACTGGGTAATTGCAAAACAAAATGATGCTTCAGGACACAGAGGTGTAAGCAGAGTACTGGGACCCAGACACACGCGCAAGGGTCAAAAGGAAGACAGCGCATCACATGATTTCAGATATTACCATCTTTATTTTTTTATTTTTTAATTCTTTGGACAGTTGAAAGCTTTCAGATTAATTCCATCGTGAATGCTGCGTCCTGCTCGCTGACCTTGTTCTGTCCTGCGGGGCGAGCTCCTTCCGTCCCAAGGGCGGGGCTCCCGGGTCTTCGGAACCCAGGCGCCCTCTTCATTGTGCTTCCTTGCAGCTGGCGTACATCGGGTATCTGATGCTCTTCAACTACATCGTGTTGGTGAAGATGGAGCGCTGGCCTTCCACACAGGAATGGATCGTCATTTCCTACATATTCACCCTGGGAATAGAAAAGATGAGAGAGGTAACCGCTTTCAGAAACGAGAACACGGGAGAAAAACGGTGGTTAGTTACACTTGGTGGGTGGAAGCGGGGTGGGGGGGTGGCTGCCGGGGAGCCAAATGAAGCCAGAAACTGTATTCTCTAATGCTGCCGTAGAAATAATGGACATGGCCTTGAGGAGGCCTTGACCTGGGGAGGCATCACAGTGTGTGTTTATCAGTTGCCACTCTGCGCATGCTCAGGGTATGTTCTAGCTTCTGCCCACAGAGCTTTTGCCCCAAGAAACCCTCCCCCTGTCTCTGATACCGTCGATGCCTCTCTTTCCTCGACTCTATAAACAGGACTTCTCAAATTGTTACATTTTTCCACTTTTAACTCCCGCTGCAACCTTTTACTCTGGGTCTCTTTGGACACTGTCATCCAATACCTATGATTCTTCAAATGCGTTTCAGCAGCTGTGGGAGGGGGAACTATACTTTCGTTCATTAATTCATCCTCTGGTTTATTCCTTCTCCACATTTATTATGCACTTGCTCGGCACCAGCCTTTCCACCAGCTCTAGGCATCACGGAGGTGAAATGAAGAGACTTCTTGCCCTTCAGGTTGAGGATGTGGGTCTCCCTCTTCCCCCGCTCCCCAATCCCCATCTTGCAAAAGGAACCAGCATAATAACCCCACACCCACAGGTCTTGCTTGAAGTCAAAGCCAGCCCCCGGGGCCATCAGAATGTGAGCTGCTAAAATGAATGTGCTCAGGCAACCGTCCACCAGAGGGCTCTGCAACCCTGCTAAACGTGCCCCACGAACTCCCATTCCCTAGGCTGGGAAGGCGGGCTTGCCCTGTGTGAGGATTCTTCTGCATTTCCCCCTGGAGTCAGCAGGCAAGGCCTCATCTGGAAGAATTACTCTCCGTCAAGTCCACTGCACCCTCAGGAGCTCCGGAACAATCCTACTCATTATACTATAGTGAGTGGGAAGATGTATCAGGCTCCACAGAAATAAAAAGGATTCTTACAAATTCATAAATTCATCCTTGCCTTCGTTACCAAGACAGGTTAAAAGCTCAGTATCTTAGGTTACAGCTCTCGAATGTTCTCTTCCAGAAAAATAGGGACACAGTATCTACTAGATGCCATCATATGGGTATCATTAAAAAAAAAATCTCTTCAATATATTTAGAGCCCTTCTTTTGGCTTTTAAACTGCTTTGGGGATACTTAAATTCTAATCGGCATGCCCCCATCCTGAGAGTTTGGAGGTGTGTACTAGTCCCTTTCATGAGCTGGATTTTTTTTTTTTTAATGGATGCCTTGCCTGGCTCTGTTCTAGTTGGTGGTCTTCACAATGCCTTCTACTTCCTGACCAGGGCCGCGGACCTCCCATCTGTGAACTGAATAACTGTAATAAATTTGCTGCGGTCTTTGTGCAGCTCTCTGAGAACCGAGGGCTGCTACTCACTGGTCAGGGCTCTGCTGCTGCTAAGAGCCAGCTCCCCTCCCGTGATTTAACGCCCTGATGCATATTCCTTCCCCATGATGAGCAGAAAAGGGAAAGACTTGGGCAGGGAGACTGGAATCCCTCCAGGGACCAGACTGGAAGAAGACAGGGAGCAGTCTGTACTCCACGGACTGTTCTGGAAGAGGCTGCCAAGCAGGCGGGCTTCCAGGAACCTCCCGGCCTGGATATCCATTTCTCCTGAGGCTGCATGTACCAATGCACAGGGCCGGGCTCTGCAGCCTCGGGTCAGCAGGGGGTCAGCCCAAGAGCCCGGCTTCGGAGGAGGCAGCGCACAGGGAGGCGCTGACCACCTTCCTGCCCGGTCCCGCCTTTTTCTCCTCTGCCTGGCGAGGCAGCCGCCCCCGCCCGGCGCCCCGGGACCCATCCCAGCGAGGATGCCCGAGCGCCCCGAGGCGGAGGACCCCCACAGGTCCCGCCTCCTCATCTCCCGCAGCGGGCGGGCACGCCAGATCCTGGAAACGTGGGAAAGTCTGCAGACTTCCCGGCCTCCCAACATACAAGCGGGGCTTTGTGGCTTCACAGGCGGCCCTCCCATTCCCAGCACCACATACTTCTGCGCGCAGTCACCAACACCGGCCGCGGGGATCCCTCAAGGGGCCGGAACTGTTTACAGCGCGCCCTGGCGGACATCCTCCCGCCCGGACCCTCCTCCCCGCAACCCCGCGAGGGCACCGAGGGACCGCGACCCGCGGCCACGCCCCCTCCGCCGCCACGCCCCCTCAGAGCCCGTCGGAGAAGCTTTAGTTTCTGGGGCCTTCGCGCTTCAGCTTCCCGGCAGCCCCTCAGCCCTGCCCTTTTTTGTTTACGTTGAGATCCACAAAAAGATCGCTGCCGTTTAAAACATGAAGCTGTCAGCCCCTGTGCTGACCAGTTAGTTGAAGGAAGGTGTGGACCCAGGGTTAGAGAACTCCCAAGTCAATTCCCGTCCCCACCCCACCCCCACTCCGCCCACACACGCGGAGTTTCTCCTCATGGAGGCGAAGCCGGGTGAGAAGCCACCAGGACGGCGGCAGGTGCGGGGATCCCCGATGGGTAGGACAGTGGTTCTCGACCTGTTGTCACCGGCTTGACCCGGGTCAGAAATGTCAACTCTCGAGCCCCGCAGCAGGCGCGCCGACGCAGAAGCTCCAGGCGCAGGGCGCAGCCGTCTGCGCTTTCGCCCGCCGCGCAGGTGATGCTGATGACGGGCTCCGGTCGGAGAAGGCCTGGGGCTAGGGTTAGGAATGGCGCCCGGCAGAGCAGGACGCAGGAGGCTACGCGCTGGCGCAGGTATTCGCGCGGCACTCCAACCCCTCGTCCCAAGACCTCCCTCCCTTAATATTTCAGGCCAAGGTAAGCCATTAAAGGGGACACAGGGTTCCCATAAATAGCTGCAGATTCGACCTGCCCCTGTCTTTGCTTTCCTCTCCTTCGAGAGGAGGTCCGGAGCTGGGAAAGCGGGGCTGGTGATGACGGCGGCAAGGGACGGAAGTCTCCGGGTAAACCCCCAGGATTCATGGAGGTAGCCCAGCTCTCCAACCTCACTAGGCCGGCCTTCCTGGCTCCCCGCATCCGCTGGCAGTTTGTGCTGTGGGTGGGGTAGCAACTCCCACTATCCAACTGTGCCTTTCATAGAGCCTGTGTGTGGCAGCAGAAGAGCCCCTCTAGATTTAAGGTCCCTCAGAGTCCCCTCCCCCCACCCCAGCTGCCAATGATGTAGGAGGGAGCGGAGAATTGCTGTGAGGACGTGTCCATGTAGTGGTCAGTCAACAAACATTTACTGAGAATCTGTTATGTCACAGGCCCTGGGGAACAAAGGGTCTGCCTTCAGAGTTTACAGTCCAGCCGGGTTGATAGGTAGACAGACACATACAACATATTTACATGCATACAGAAGCTAGGATAGTGAAACATAAGGGTAATAGGTTACTGACTGACTTGGGGATGGGGAGGCCCCTGCAGGTAGGGTAGTCAAAGAAGTAGTCCTAAGAAGGGGAAATTAGAGCAGAGACCTTGAGGAGAAAAATCTGGAAGAAGAAAATGCCCAAGAGAAGGAACAAGTGCAAATATCCTGAGCATAGAATGAACTTGCTATGCTGGAGAGCACACCACTGTGTCTGCAGGTGAGAACGGCAAGAATAGGGTGGGATGTGACATGAGGCCAAGGGAAGGAGTTTGGATCTTTCTCTGTATTGGAAGCCATCGAGCGATTTAAATATTCACTTATCACAATTTGCTTTAGTTTGTTGTTGTTGTTGTTGTTATTGAAGAAAATGAACAACTCGTAAGGGTCCAGCTTGATGGCTTTCTGTCTACCCGTACAACTGTGTAATCGCCGCCCAGATCATGGCTTCAGTTTTTAAAGATCATTCTGTGTGCTACTCAGAGAATGGACTGAGGAAGGGTGGGCATCCCTGGTGGCAGAGATACTGGTTAGAAGGCTGTTGCAATCATCTGGTTGACGTGATAGGACTTAGAATAGAGTGGCAGCAGTGGGTAGTGGTGAGAAGTGGTTGGATCAGATCGTTTTTAGAAATAGAGGTGATATTGATGCAATTCTCTGGATGTGGAGAGAAGACTGAAGGAGTCCTCCCTGGGGATCTGAGGAACTCAATATGGTGGCACCAAGATGGAGCAGAATTTCAACAGATTTACAGTTTATTAGGAATCAGTAATTTTATAGTAAAACCCACATGCATGTCTTAGGGTTGTAAGGCAACCCAAAGGAGAAAACTTCTTGCTTATATTTGCCTCCAGAATGTTTGTCTCTGCATGGCCTAAGTTTAGTTTGCACATATCCAAGTAGACCCAGGTAAACAAAACAAGCTACGGATGTCAACTAACAGTCCAAGCATTTTCCAACTGGACCAAAAACATAGACTGAAATCAGACCTAAGCCTGTTCTCTTTCCTGTCTTTTAGATTCTAATGTCGGAGCCAGGGAAGTTGCTGCAGAAAGTGAAGGTGTGGTTGCAGGAATACTGGAACGTCACAGACCTGATAGCCATCCTTTTGTTCTCTGTCGGAATGATCCTTCGTCTCCAAGACCAGCCCTTCAGGAGTGATGGGAGAGTCATCTATTGTGTGAACATCATTTACTGGTACATCCGTCTACTAGACATCTTCGGCGTGAACAAGTATTTGGGCCCCTATGTAATGATGATTGGAAAAATGGTAAGCAGGATCCTCTGATTCCGTGTTGTACATTTGCAGAGGAGGAGTTATTGCAGAGGCAATAACAGGAAGAGGAAAATAATTCATTTGGGCCTGCCGTGATAGTCTGAAATGGCCCTGGGGGTGTTGTTTTTTTTTTTTTTTCATTCCCTGTGAGTGTTTAGGAGTTTGACTACATGTATATCCATCACTGGAAAATTAATCATCACTCACCCATTTACTTACTGAAAAACAATCACAGATCATCTATTTTGTGCTAAGCACTGGAGTAGGAGTTGGGTATATAAAGGAGCTCATTCCCCGAGATCAAAGATGAGAGAAAGAGAAGTAATTACCATACAGTATGAGAATGCTGTGATAGGCCTATAAAGTATAAAGGAGCATAGAAAAGACAATGTAGGTCAGGGAAGGCTTCCCATGGAGGTTACATTTTAGCTGGATCTTGGAGGAGGAGTGGGTGTCCACTCCAAATTTTTAACAGATTTTTCAATTTGTAACATTTCTTCTCCTCTTCCTCCTCCTCCTCCTCCTCCTCCTCCTCCTCCTCCATCTCCTGCTGCTTCTTTTTCTTCTTCTTTTTCTTCTTCTTCTTCTTCTTCTTCTTAATGAAGTGCTTGAAAAATGCCTTTCCTTATGCAAAGGGAAGAAAATATAATCTATTTTAGCTGAGTTAAGTTAGACTGAATTTGAGTAAGTGTCCCTTACTTCACCTTTACAGGGCATTCGTGGAAGAGCCAGATACCTCCCTCCTACCGTGGTAAACAGCTCTTACTGAAAATCCTCTGTGCTGATAACCTCCATTCCACTTCTACTTGTAGCTGTTGAAAACCAACCCTCAGTCAATAGATGTCCTTTATAATTCTCAGTCAAGTTTTACTATATACATCATTGCTGCTGACCTTAGGTCAGCAAATCAATATTTGTTATCATTATTAGTGTGTATGTGTGTATATAAGTCTACTGAAATGAATCTTAAATAACCAAGTCTCTTCCTACAGAAGCACTGGCAAACACATGCAAAGAGGAGAATTTGAATCCAAAAGGAAGAGGTTGTGAGACCTGGAGCAATTTATTTAACCTCTTTAAGACTTTAGTTTATTCATTCAAAGTAATTATAATAAAGGCAAGGTCATATCTTGTAAGGGTTGTGATGATTAGAAAGAACATACTAAATAGCTAATAGGGTCTGGCCCATAGTAGGTAGTTGATAAATGACATCTCTTATATTTATGTTCACTTTATGTTAAAGTCTAATAAAAAGGGGGAGGAGGGATAGGGGATTGGTGAGCGTGGTTAGTCTGCTCTATTCTTAACCCTTTTGTACAAAAGCTTGCAATCTATAACACCAGTATTGCTTAGGGGATATATCACCAAGCCCATTCTGGAGAGGAAAATTGGAATTCAACAAGCCTGATTTATTTACCCAAAACCAAATCCCAGTTCAACTGGGATTTTTGACTAGATAAAATATGTATATCCTACTCCGTTGCACAGCCCGTTATATAATCTTCTCTGTGTTTTAGTAATGAATTTGGGATTGTGGTAAAGATTTGGATGTCTAAAAGCAGAAACTCTCAACTTAGAGTCTTCAGGAGAGATTTAGAAGAAAGGATTGGTGGACCCTCCACCCAATTTATATATAAAAAATACACAGGCGTATGAATTCCTGGACAGAGAGGACAAGCTTCCCTGAGACTCTCAAATATATTTTCAAATGGACCCAATGAGAGTGAAAATTATAACAGCTACAAAATTAGGCCCAGTTTTCTCAGCCTGGGCCCTACTGATATTTCAGATTAGATAATTTGTTGTCATGGGCGCCATCCTGTTCATCTTAGGGTGTTTAACAACATCACTGGCTTCTACCCACTAATGCCAGTAGGGAAGGTATACACACACACACACAACAACAACATTGCCATATGTACTCTGGGGACACACTTGCTCTCTGTTGAGAACCACCACAGTAGACGATTACATAATCTGATGGCTTGTTTCTTCTGGTTGATTGGTTGCCTTGTTTTGTTTCAGTAAATAAGATCTGAGGTCTCAAACCAGCTAAGTATATTACTTTAAAAACGTTGGGTGGTACTGAAATACTTGAAATATCTAAAGTCACACTAAAACAGCAAAAGCTCATTGTAAAATCCCCGTCTATCATTTTAATAATGGCATAATTATCCCCAGTTTTGACTTGAATGAACCCTTACTATGGAGTGAGCAAGAGAGATGTACTGCATTTTCTCTACCTTCCAACTTACGAATGACTTCCCTTATCAGTCAAGAATAAGTAGAAAATGAGTGTATTTGGTGGCTTTGTTCTCTTTCCTGGAGTTTCCAAGATACTTAGTTCAATAATTGAGTCACTCATCTAGAAGAGAGGTAAAAAATGCCCATAGAATTTTTCATTGAGCCAGATGGACTGCCAGGTACGACGCATAACAAAATATGCCCAGATGTGATTATTCTGAAAGCCCCTCAACATTAGAGAGTCCCTATTCGGTACTAAACAGCCAAGTAACTCACTGTGCCCTGTGGTAAGGGATAGACAGACAGCTGCTAAGATACCTGGACACAATACTTGATCAAGTAGGATTCCAACTGATCTTTAAATCCAGAATCACTTACGGGGATCCTGACCTCTTTCCTTCATAGTCCACTTCTCAGTGCAATTCTCTAAGCCTAGTACTAAGCTCACTTATATAATGCAGAAAAAAAACAACAATGATAGCTCTCATTTACTCTGTGCCAAACACCGTATCAGACGTCATCATCACTACAACCCCATGGAATGGCTTTTAGTATCTTCATTTGGTACCTAGATAAACTGAAACTAGGCAAAGAACAAAGGCAGGATTCCAGCTTGGGTGGGTCTGACGTCACAGCCTGGCCATCCGGTGCTAATAATAACAATACATGAACATTTACGGGGGTCTATCCACATTGCTTCACGTGTTATCACATTTAATCCTTACAAAATTCATATGCATTGCTATTGTCTTTATTATTTCCATTTTGAAAATGAAGGGAAAAACCAAGATTAAGTAACTTGCATGTGACCACCTAAGCTGTTCTTACTAGAACAGTTAAGATGAAAACTCGGGAGGTCTAACACCTATACAGAATGCAACCAACGAATAGTTGTAAGAGTGAGACAGAATCAGCTCTCCTCATGTTGAACCAGCTGGACAGTTCAGCTCTAAAAACAGAGGTCCCCCGTTTTTACTAATAATGTTTTGTTTCTGCACTCTACCAGATTTCAGTATTTGTGTGGTATAGGTTTTTGAGATCTATGACATTGGGTAGGAAGAATGTTTTTGTCTTTGGTTGTTTGGCCCTGTGGGTAGATAGCAGACTCAATCTGAATGAAAACAGCCCTGGGAAATCAAATCAGACCAGTTGCTGTGTGTACTGGCTGTTTTCTTGGGTCAGACTGGCTCCTAAATTTCATGAGTACATACATTCCTCTTCCCACCCACCTTTTAATCAATCCAAATATACAACTTGAAGGCCCCATTAGTGTTTTTTCATTGATAGAACTTTTTGTAAATGAGGAGTGAAAGAATTTTACAAAATAGAAGATGAGCAACAGGCCTCTGTTTCCTATGAAACTGTTTCAACACAGCTGGCTTGTTCACTTTTAAGAGCATTCTGAGGCTGCTATGCTGTGAAAGGAATAACCAATTAAGTCGCATATATTTTTAAAAACAGTGAACAGATATGAATGAACATCAAGTTTTGAGAGATTCTTACTGAGTCTCAAAATTAAATGATACTTGAGAGCTGGGTTTGGAAGTTGCCTTGATGGTTGATTAATTGACCTAAAATATATTGAGCCCCCAGTGTCCTGAGGCAAACAGGAAGGCTCTAGTGTTTTAATTCTATTAACAGGCGCTGTGGAATATATTCTTTCAAAATAAAATTTTAAAGCAAATTTACAGCCTTTATTATCATTGATAAAATTATTGTTAGTGTTTCTTTGTGGGTGGGTATCCCTTCAGGAAGTTTGATATCCAAGAGAAGGTCATCTTTTGTATTAGGTGGTTTGATGTGAGGAATAGAAGCCAGTCTCCAACTAGCTTAAGCCCAGGAGGGCTATTTTGACTTAGAGAAGGGCAAAATGAAACTGGCCTAAAGGGCTACTTCAATCAGGCCCTCAACCCCTGTCAGGACATAACTCTCTCTCTGTCTGGAATATCTGCTTCATTCACTCCTGATCAGTTTCACTAGTGGGAGCCTCAGCCACTCTGAATTCGTATCATTACAGAAAAAGAAAGGGAGCTTCTCTCTCCCAGCTTCAGTTGAAAAAAATCCAAAGATAGGATTCTGGTTGGCCCATCTTATGTCGCATGCCTACCTCCTATCGCTGTTGCCGGAGGGTGAGCTACCATGATTAACTTAGCCTGGAAAAGACACCTATCTTTGTGGCCAAAATGGGTGGGAACTGCTTCTAAAAGAAGGAGGCAATGGGTTCTGGCCAGGCAAAATAATAGTTATTATATCCCCATCTATTTTTGGTGATAAAAGGAAAGTAATTTGGCATATGAGAAACAGATCCCAGATAATATGTATCATGAAAACAAGCAAAAAAGAAAGGAATCAAGAGGAACAAGAGATGATATTGTGCTCAAATTCAGTCAAGAGAATTTTATAAACACGTCAAGATGAAAATCCAACATTTCAACAGCAGACACAGAAATGAGCCATTAGGCAACTTGATTCTGTCGCCTACAAAAACAGCCTCCATAACTGATAGGACATGCTACAATAGAATTAAGTACAGAAAGAATGGTTCTCTGAGGGACTGGTTTGTGGTAGAATACCAAGTGATGAAGTGGGACCACAAGAATAAGAAGGTAAATGATGGATATTTGGGTTGTGCTAGCTTTGTTCTCAAATGGTTATTTTCTTGAGCATTTGAGATCTTCATTAGCCTTTCCAGCTTAGGGAATTTACAGCACTGCAGTTGTTCTTGAAATATTTCAATTCTTTCAGTTTCACTTTTGCTAAGAAGAAAGAGACCTTAGGAGGACCTTTCCCCTTCCCAGGAACAGAGACAAAGTTAGTAGTGGATTCGTAGAGAGACCCGAGCTTCATGTGACTCCCATGCCTAATCTTAAATAGGTGGCACAGACTACAATGAAAGATGAGGGGATTCCACGCTATGTGTGCTTTTCTAAAAATGATTTTTGACTTACTGATAAGTTCTGTGAACATTGCTTCAATAGACCAAGTGTTCTCTTTCTTACTTGGACACAGCTGTCTATATATTCCATAGCAATAGTGTTAAAAGTGAACCTCCTTCACAGGTTTCCATCACTGTTGGTGTCATAGGAACACTCAATTATATGGATTTTCTTTTATTTCTCTCTTCCAGATGATAGACATGATGTACTTTGTCATCATTATGCTGGTGGTACTGATGAGTTTTGGGGTCGCCAGGCAAGCCATTCTCTTTCCCAATGAGGAGCCATCATGGAAACTGGCCAAGAACATCTTCTACATGCCCTACTGGATGATTTATGGGGAAGTGTTTGCGGACCAGATAGACCGTAAGCAAGTTTATGATTCTCATACACCAAAGTCAGGTATTGAACTTCAATTGGGTCACGTCTTTTCTGAGTTCATTTGTTTGTTCTCAATAAATGGCTCAAGATAGAGGACCGATTCCTAGCTTGCTATCTCGGAGAAAGAAAAAAAAAATTAACAATTACAGAAGGCGAATACGCAATTTTCACAAAGTAGTCCTCGGGTGTTTCTCCAGGTATGTCCTTTCTGTGACACATATTGATATCTGACATCCTAAATTTGATCAAAAACTGTATAACAAGATCTAAATTATATTTGGGGAATCAAAATCCTAGGGCCATGTGGTGAATATTTCAATATTATTAAAATATTATGTCATTACTCCCACCCCTACCCTAGGCCCCAGCCTGTAAAAACTAAATTCTTTGGGTTTGACTTCAGAACAAATAAACAATTCTCTATTTTGCCATCAGAATTCAAGAGGGCAAACATCTGCATGGTGTTTTCCTTGCAATGGAAACTATTCTTCAGCTCCTTTTCCCCCCTGTCTTAAATTATGTACTTTTGAGACTCAAAAGAAGCTAGTATTCATTGCCTGGAAGTATGGAAAATGCCTTAGGTTATAAACTGAGTTGCTTGCTGTAAATGCCAGGAAAAAAAAAACAGTATCTATATCCTGAAATGATTCAGGGTGAGGAGTGAGCTCCAGCAGGTCCCGAATGTTTCATGCCCTAATAGGTGCCGTTTCTCTGTAATAAACACCCTCTCATACAGAGTTTGGAGGTAGGTGTATCGTAGGAGTGTGTTCCACCATTTTATTTGGACCAAATGTCAGGGCACACCAGGCATTGGGAAATGATTTGGGAAAAAAGCAACAGGAAGGAAGTACCTTGTAGTATGGAAGAACTGAATCCCTCCAACAACTTGTTCTCATTTTCCCTGAGGAATTTAGCTCTAGAAATAACATCCCTCCAACATTGTCGAATTAACATTTCTGAAACGTTTTTTGCTGACAAGCCAGCCATCCGAGCCCTGGACTGTGACACGGATCGGGGTTACATAACCAGGTAGAGCAGGAGCAAAGCCCCTTCAGCATAGCCCCGCCGCCCTCAGCCAGTCCCAGGTAGGACGGACACCGAGTAAAGAAGGAGCAAGCACCAGAGAGGTGAGCCCTCCAGGCCTGTGAGGAGTAGGTGAACCCTGGCACCAGGACCCATTAGTATGTCGTTTTCCTGCCTGCGATGGATTTTAAACAAATACCTTTCTTAAAATGAGTCATCTGAGGCAAGAAGGCTTTTTGGAACACCTAATTGGAACAAATATTCATTTCAGGAGACTTGGCCAACCTCACTGAGGAATAATTTTAATTCCACCTCCTGGTTGTAAGATCTTTGGTTGGCAATGTGCAGCCTTCACAGAGACAGCTTTCCAGGGCCTGGGGAAAACCCTTTCGGTATCCTCCTTTCAAATGGCCCCCAAAGGCAAAACAGCTTAAAAGCCCATCTATAATCATTCTCCTCAGAGATGAATTGTCTTATCTCCCCCAAGAAATTGCTTTCCATGTACATTATTTTGCCTTTTTAAGTTTTCCTTTCTTCCGCAAAATGAGATTAAGCCCCCACGGGTGTTTTGGACAGTGCAACATTTTGGGAGGGGAGAAGACAGGAAGTGTAGGTGTGTTTTATAAATGGGATTCTGTCTGTCCCTCTACAAGTGGCCATTTATTGATGTTGTACTATGAGCCCAACCTAGTGCAACAGACCCCACCATCTGGCTGAATAAGAAGCCTTCTTATTGTTATTTTAAAAGAAGGGCTGATTGTAGTTTAGAACTGGAACCCCACCCCCAACCCCCCGAGATGGAAGAGAGGTGTTTCGTGTGAGTGAAGCGTGAAAATAGACATCCCTTATTGTTCATTAGATCTGTGGTGCTCTACGTGTGTGAGAATAAATTTCTGCCCCAAATCTCAATGCAGAACTGACCCAGCCTTGGATGGACACAAGCAAGCTTCATGATACCTTTCCCCCAGTTACCTTCCTTCCTGACATTCCAAAATTGGCTGCAATGGTAGCCACTGTTCTAAGCTAAATCAGCCAGTTTGCTGTTTGGAGTGCTAAAGAGCATTTATTTGTCCTTTCTCAAATGGGTATAGGAGGCTGCCCCCAAATCTGTCATTATATTTGGCCAAAGCCATTGAACACCCATTGCTGTCTTGGAAATAATTTGATTTTCATGTTATGGCACTGGACAAGCCTAAGGGCCATTGGGTGACCGCCCCACCCAGCCATGCAGAATTGCCCCGGGAGACCCAAGAACCAAGCTATTTGAGAAAGGTACAGATCGTTTACGCTGCCCTACGGTGTCTTGCCTCTTTTCTGTGCCGTGTCCAGGCTGGTTTGTGAAGCATGTGTTCAGGCCGACGGGATCTCATATCCGCCTGGACCCGCGACCCTGCGCAGGGTCTGCCAGTCCCATCCTGTGGATGTGGCCCTGCGGGGGCCTCGCCAATGCTGCTCATTCACACACCCCTCCTCAGAGCGACTCATTTCTAACGTGATGCACGTGCTCCGTATCTAACTCTTTTTGTTTTGAACCGCAAAGTTGCTGAAGCCATTTCATGTTTGGGGAAATAATCTGCTGGGGATGGACTGTATGTGGATGAGTAATGGGGCCCAAGGGGTGGGTTATTGACATCTGTCTTCCGCCTCAGAAGGGAGGACGGCGCTAACGCCCTCACTTCTGGAAGGCAGTGTTACTGGATGGCAGATTTTTTATATACACTCCCATTTTTTTTTTCTTGTCATTTCTCTTAAACCCAGAGACTTTCAATAAGGCCAAAAAAAGCCAGAATGAGACTTCTAAGGTTACTTTCCAAATGTGCTTAAAGACAGAAAGCAAAAGAAGAAAGAAAGAATGGAGTCACTGTAAAATCACCAAATAATTTAGGGGGCTTTCACCTCTAAACCAGATTAGATTAACACAAATTATAGTCTGGCGTGAATCTCAGTGATCTGTGAGGCTGAAACATGCTTTGTGCCGGGAGCTGGTGTGCGTGCAAAATCGTGATTGGTAGCAGCGGGTAATAAAACTGGGAACTGGCAGTCACGGCCCGCTCTGCCAGGTGTTTTGCCTAGCAGCCTCATGAACTGAGGAGAAATGACCTTGCTGTTGTCGTTGGGTTGATGTTTAAGTTATATATAACAGCAGCTCTCTACGACCCAATCTATGGGCTACCGTTCAGTGACTCGGGCCCCAGCTTGCTAAATGTATTGCTACCAAATGATGACATCCTTTTAAGTGTCTCATTAAGGTGACCCATGTTGCACGGCATCTGAGAGCTGGTCAGGATCCCACTGGAGCCTGAGGGGGAAAAAGCCACTTAGAGAGAAGGAGCAACAGAATAAATTTCCAGCACATTCATGTCAAGGCCAGGGCAAAGCTAAAATTAGAGGGCCTCTTGGCAGTTGAGAAATGTGGTTCCATGGTGGGTGAGGTACCTAGAAATACACCTTTGTTGGCCAAGAAGATGGGGTGTCTCTAGCTTCCTTAAGCCTCTGAATGAGTGAGACTTCCCTTTATTCACAGGGTATCCTTGTGTTGCCTGCCATACACACAGATTTCCCAGGCTGTACCGGGACAGGGGAGAAATGAATCATGCTCTTGAATGCATGAAATCAGGGTCTAAATTTAGTCCTTCTTTCTGCTGCTCTGAGTATTTTTACAAGTTTGGGTACTAACGTGAAAGCAGAATGTCCAAAACTTACTTCCTACCATAACCACTTGATATTATTTGGCTGTTCCCCTTGGCCCAAATTGACTATCCAATCTACTTAATGCATGGGTCAATTTTTTTTTTTTTCTCTTACTGCCTAGGGCTTTTCATCTAAAATTAATAGGTAATCTGGAGTAAGAGGGCTTATTTGTGTTGCGGTTTAGTTTGGTGTTGCTCCATTTTATTTATTTATTTATTTATTTCAAATGTTTTGTTGTTTAAAAGGCAAACAAACAAAAACCTTGCTCTTCTGGTGTCTCTGTGATGTTGACTGGGTTTGAAGCGCTGTTTCTGTGAGGAAACAGGGAGCCTGCGTGTACATGTGAAGCTAAAACATTGCCTTGTATTACTTTTCTGTCTCAAATTATTCGCTCCTCGTTTCATGTGTGGAAGTTAAGATAGCTCAAGGCCAGTCTCTAAAATATGCCTGCTTATGGCGAAGCTTAGAACAGCATGGACAGAGAAGATGGCCTTCATTACGCCTTTCCATCCGTAGACTCCCGTTCTGGAAACTCAGGGCTCTGCAGCCATTTGGTATTCAGGGCTGACCTTCTCTAATGGATTCAGAGCACACTAATGCCTAACAGCTATAGCGTGGGGAGTGTTGCCCAACCCAAGATAGTATTTTGGAAAAGAAAAACTTGGGCCAGTGCCAACTTTGGGGAAAGGGGGAATTGTTAGACTGGGTTTTGTTTTTTTGCAGATTGCTAAGGACAGAAGCCAGCAGAAGGCACCACCCCCCTTTTTCTGTCCCTGAAAGTCAGTTTATATTCTAAAGGATACCCACCCAACTTGTTTGCTAATGCAAACTGAGACTTGGTGAGTTTACAAACAGCAGAGCTCTCTGCAGACAAGCCTTTGTGATGATTCAGGATGCTGCAGTGATCAGCGTTTGTTTCACTCTCACAATATTCCTTCAGCCTTAGCTCACAGGTCAGGCTCCATTTTTAATCCATTCATTCTTCATTCAGGGGAGGTTTGTTTTGATCCTACCAGGAGCCCAGACACTGAGGTAAAGAGAGGCACATGACAGAGATACTGTGGTTTTGTTTTTTTTTTTTAAGATTTTATTTATTTATTTTTCAGAGAGAGAGAGAGCACACAAGCAGGCAGAGGCAGAGAGAGAAGCAGGCTCCCTGCTGAGCAAGGAGCCTGATGCAGGACTCGATCCCAGGACCCTGGGATCATGACCTGAGCCGAAGGCAGCGGCTTAACCAACTGAACCAGCCAGGCATCCCAGAGAGATATTGT